AGGCTTTAACAGTCCTAACTAGTGGTGGCAGTTTCTTGGTGGTGTTGTCGATCACCCATTGATGTTTTGAAGATCAAAAAGACATCTTTTATAATGCCTATATGATAACATATCAGTAGCTTCCCTATAACAAAACCGCCCCCTTTACTAATCAACCAGGAAAAACTCGGATGGTGTGGATGCCTTTCAGCCTCGTCCCTAAGTCGAATTCTCCCGACAAGCTTGAAAGGTGACGTCACATTCGAAATTGCCGACGACGACTGGGAACGAAGCTGGGTGCCAGTGGCTCGGGTTCTTTCATTAGACAGCTTTAGATTTGAGGACGAAAACGAGTACGAGTATTAGATTTAACTTAAAGTTTTTGCGCGTGTTCTTAAAACAAGACACCCCGAAAGTTCCATTTTTATATATTTTTTTTACCGAAAAGTTAGTACGGTTATTCATAATGAAGGAGGTTAAGCCCTCTCCCGATAGCAAAAAATTTCTTGCATTTGATAACTCGTTGCCGCCACTACGACATTCTCGCTAAAACTCCTATTAGAATGACAACGGCTATCACGTTTTCCCGCCGTTCACGCGTTTTCAATACTCGGCATTGAGAAAATCTCGTACTTGTAGTCATCCTCGTCTCAGAATCTAAAGCTCTCTATTGCTGTCCGTGTGACTGTTCTGTATTTTTATCGCACAGCTCCCAAGACTCGCGTTATGTTATCCACTCAGCCTGACTACATCAACGCTAATTGGGTCAGGGTAAGCCGCATGTCATTTCATGAGTAATCAGACTAGTGTTCAATTGACAACTCTTCCATGTCTTCTCCATTCTGAGGCCGGTTTGCTTTTTAAAGCTGCCAATGAGGAGTAACGTCGGATCAATTTAGGTTACTAGGAAACTGCCCAACTACCCCTCCCCTGAGCCAACATTTTGCCTTAAGTGAGAAGTAAGTGATAATGTTGGCTTAGGGGAGGGGTAGGTGGGCAGTTTCCCAGAAACCTAAGTGAATCCATCACGCCTTAATTCATGAGAAGAACTTAAACTATTACTTTCGTTATATATTTATTCTTCCCTTGATTTTGAACATCAGGATCATGGAGGGAATATAAGCCCGTATTAACTGCACCCTCCTCGCCTAGTCCCTTCCGAGGCCTTCCTGGTCAATGCTCCGAGACCAACGGCTCAAAAACTTGCTCAGACCACGTTACACGAATCGCACAGGCCGCGTAGAATAATGAGGCCTAGGCACTGGGCAAGCAGCCTCCTATCAGAAAGAATGGCCCACAATGAACCGCCTCCGCCCCCCACTTATGAAAACGAAGAGTGACCTAGGTTGCTTTTAATAAGCTTCTCTTGTTGTCGATTTAACTATTACTTATCATGGTTTGTCCTCTAGGATCACAAAGGGAAAAGATGCTACATTGCTACTCAGCACCCTTTACACGAGACTGTAAACGATTTTTGGCAAATGGTCTGGGACCAAAAAGCTAACATTGTTGTTATGGTCAACGATAAACAGCAGGAAAAGCCGGTAAGCTGCAGCGTCTGAGCTGTGAAAGTTTGACGTTTGTCCAGAGCGATCAACATGTCGAATACCACTGTTCTTTCAATAACTGCTTGTGATTCTCTACAAATCTACTCGAGTCAATTAAACCCCCCATCAAGGGAAGAATAATTGGACATTCTCTTGACCCCTTACATTTTTAAACTGAATTTTATCTTTAAAGGCTGAATTTGTGGACTATTTGCCGAAAGGAGAAGGGAGCTCGAAAGCTTTTGGCTCCATCAATGTGACGGTCAAACAGACGACAGAAAAGGCAGACTATCGCTTGACTGTTTTAAGCATCGCGGATAGTAAGGTAAGATTCTTCAATTCCTAGCCCTGCCTGTTTCATAACAGTTTTTTTGAGGAAAAATAATAATTAAGGTGACGTATTTGTAAATTTCGGCTACATTCACAAAGACGCTTCTAAATTTTATAGTTTCCAATCCTAGTGGTCGTGCCAGGTTTGGTATTCCTTCAATACATGTAAGTTTGTGATAGTGATGATGATAATGCTGAAGCAGAAGTCGATGAATTAGATGATGATGTCGTTAATGGCAGTAACGATGTCGATGGTGACAGGAACGAATTTTTTAACGAAAGTAAACAAATGTGAATGAATGTGTTCATAGTTTAGTAGCAATGATACGACTACAGTGAAGAGGTCGATGATGACGATGTCGATGACTATATGGCGAAAACGATTCCAGTGTTTATTATGATGACTGGACGAAGGGAGGAACCCGTCGCATAAACTTATAGACTTTGCATACAATATAAAGGCTAAAAAAGGGTAAAGACGGCTCAAACGGCCGGAGCTTATCACGGTTTCCTAAACATGAAGCATGCTTAGGAGTATTGCTACTCCATCTGGACGGGATGCTAGTTCATCGCAGGGTTACCCCCCAGCAGTATGTCACCGGTACCCATTAAAACACCTGGGTGAAGAGAGAAAAACTGAAGTAAAGTTCCTTGTCAGAGGAAACAACCCAACGGGCGAGGCTTGAACCCCGGACCTCCAGATCCGGAGGTCGAGGTGTTAACCGCTCGTCCACACCCGCCTCCACACATACAAATTAGTTAACTATATATTTTGGTTCCGGTCCTAAAAGAACGTTTTGGTTGTCCAAGCTTGCAAGTTGAAATTTCACAGCGTTACATCATCGTAGAAAGCCACAACGAATTTTACAGATGTTAATTAAGACTTCTATACCTTTAAACTCTCTTAGAACGTAGCAACTCCGCGTGAAGTCTCGCACTTTCGATTCACCTCGTGGAAGGAGCGTGCCATACCAAACGTGGCCTTGTTTGTTGGGTTTGTGACGGCCACGAGGGAAGCGAGGAAAAAGTATGCAGACACTAACGTCCCCACCATCGTACATTGCAGGTAGGAGACTTGCTTCAAGAAAGGGACAGTCTGAAATCGAAGATACCGCTTTAGAAAAATGCTTAAACTTTTTCTGTGCCGTAGCCAATTAAACATCCTCTCCGTGGAAATGGTTAGAGAAAATTATTATTTGTTTAACGTATAACCGCCTTAGCCATTCAGTGTATTTCTTTTTAAATGCGCACACAGAAAAAATAACATTTTTGGGTTCCTGGCGAAGGAGTTTCCTTTATGCATTTAGAATAATTTCTGAAAATTCTCCTTTTGAATATAAAAGAAACAAAAGCCCGACGATCATTTTATTTTAGGTCAACGCCCTTTCAATTTTGCCTGAAAACAACCGCGCGTTTCTGTATGGTGGAATTGAAATGTCATAAAACTCGCTCTACAAAAGGTAAAACTGATAAGTGCACGGCGAAAAATTTTTACTTCATTTTTCTTTCAGTGATGGCCTAGGTTTTACCGGGGTGTATATTGCTGTCGATATTGGCGTTAAGAGTCACGAGGAGAGTAAGGCATCAGTTGTTGATGTCTTTGAGCTGTCAAAGAATCTTAGGCGTGACAGACATGGCATTGTTTGTTCCTTGGAACATTACAACTTTATATACCAGGTAAAAGATCATTTTTTGATCCCGTTGAATGGGTATTAGACTGTTCACAGTCCTCTATTTTTCCGTAAGGTCGTCGAGATCGAGAGCTTTGCGTTACGGGCTGCCACCTTGCATGAGTGTCAAAACTACTTAGGGGACGGGGGTGGTTTGGGAGGTTTTTCTCGTTCCCCTCCCCCTACAGCTGTAATCCCCTACGCCCGTCCCCTCGGTACATTACGGTAAGACGTGCTATATCTCGACGATCTCACGAAAAGAATAGGAGACTGTGAACAGTCAAATGGCTATTGGGGTAAAGTACATGAAGAGAGATAGAGACCAGTAAATTATTGTTCATCAGCAGCTTTACAGCTGTTGTTGGATGGTGTCAACTTTTTCACGCGGGATGTATTGACATGAAGATTTCATGGAAAAGGGACTAGTCACATATAATAAGTTGTTATTCACTCACATTCGTAAATATGTGATTCATAAGATGTGAACGAGAACATGGCGCTCTATATTTTTCCGAATTTATCAGCATGTGGGGTGGAGATGAAAACGGCACTGCCGTTTTTCAAATAATCGCGGTGGTCGTTTGAATGTACATATAGGGAATTAACCGTTAGCTATTTGCTCCTTATCTAATGATTCATTATTTGTTTACGGTAATATAGTTGGTGTTTTACTATAAATAGCTCTGATTTTCCTATTTTTTTACCCTACTAACAGGCTCTTTATGAATATACAGTGAACTACGATAAGTCAGATAAGGTAAATGTTTCCCCTACTGTTTGAAAACCTCGCCTTAGTTAACCTTTTTCCGGATATCACCCAATTATAATGAATGCACAAGTCATCTTGTAACCCTTTATTCCTACCTCTTGACCAGTGCTCAGGTCTGAAGACCCTTCCGAGAGGGGGCGGGAGCGGGGAGGGGGAAATGAAGGGCAGTTCGGGCAGATTTTGCCTCCAAGGCTTTCAAAAACCCTATGCCTATTTTAAGACAATGTCCATTTATTTTGCTTCCCACTTTAGACAAGAGATCAGAATACAAGTCACATGACTGAAGTGTTTTACTGTTGTAATGTTTTTTTTTTTAATGTTTTAAATGTTTTAACATTACTCATAATTGCACAGTTGAATTTTTTTTTTTACATTTGCCCTTGTTTGTCCATGTTCTGCAACGTTTCGCTAGTCACCTTGAAAATGCCCCCCAAAATGTTATAACTTATTAGACATAATGAATTTCGCTTTTAACCTTACCTTTCCTGTGCAGTATAGACAGGTAAATTGATTCTATCTTACATACACGATAGCTGATCACTACGAGTAGCTTTCATTTTACTGCTCAATGAAAATCTATTTTGGAGTCTTTTAGGACTTTTAGATTAGAGGACTGGGACGACTACGAGGACGAGTTTCAACTTCCACGTCTTCTTAAAAAAATATTCCGGTACAACCCGAAAAGAGCTTCATTTTGCTTTTTTTTTTCTCACCAGAAAAGTTAACACGGTTAATTTTATTGAAGGAGGTTTACACCCTCTTCCGATCGCAAAATGCTGAAGATTCTAATCATTGTAAACTTGTTTTTGCTACTGCGACATTCTCACTAAAACCCATAGTAGAATATAGGGGAGAAGTCGTCACATCACGTTTCCTTGCTTGCCATGGTTTCTGGATCTCAACAAACCGTGGTCCTGCAGATATGACAGAAAATAGCAAAAAGGTTGACATGCATAACTTTCCTGTGCATGATTAAACGCTAGAACAAAACGGTAGCCCATACTTTTCCTCCATCGTTCGACAATGCAAATGGCCGTCTCTGTCAAGAAAGATTGTTGTGATCCAGAAAATTTGCTATCATGGTAACCTGACGTCATACTTCTCCTCTCTATAACGACGGCTATCTCGTTTTCCCGCCAAAATGACGCTGGTTCACGCGCGCGCACTACTTAGTATTGAGGAAATCTCGTCATCATAGTCGTCCTTGTCTTAGAATCTAAGGTTCTCTATTTGGACTTTCTCAGCTGTTAACATTCGTCTTCTCTATCGTTTGTTTCAGTGATTCAAAGTGGCACCTTGAAGCGGACGTTGGGGCAAAAGATTTTGTTTTTTATCAACTATTATTCGTAGATCAAACAGAGTTAATAAGTATATTATAGTTAGAGCGGTTTTCATTTGAGTATCGTAAAACCAAAACCAAAGTAATTACTCTAGCCAATCACAAAGGACACAGACAATACACTCCCTAAATTTAAGGACAGGGCCAACTGGTCACGCGACACTTTTCAACCAATGAGAAGGCGCGCTTGTGTTTATCAACAAACAAATCAAAACATCGCCCCAGTGCTCAAAAATTATCAAAACAACGGACTGAGTCGACGGACAAAATTAAAGATGAGCTTACAGTACTCGTCTAGGTTTCACATTTAATATTTCAAAAAAAACATTTCATGTATGAGAATAAGAGCAAGAACAAGGACAAGAATCAAAGAACCAGTCATCATAACAAGAATAAAAAGTAGTTCAAATTTATTAATTTTTCTTGTTTGTTTTCTGGTGTTGTATCGTGTTGACTTCACGCATCTGGTGCTTTCCTTGCTTGCTGTAGTGCCTGCAATGTTTTAATTTTATCCCAGATTTAGTGCATGTTCAATGAGTTGCGAAATACATCGTTTACACTTGAAATTTGCCTTCTTTCTTTGATTGTTTGTGAACGGTGGATGAACATTTGGAGAATCCAGCGACATTAAATCTTTCCAGATTTGGTGAATTTCAGAAACAAAGCGGTTAGTATCTACCTTGCGCTTATCATCTTCAATTTCATCCCCGCAAATTCGGCAAAGTGAGGCGAGATGTAGGACGTGAATATTCATAAGACTAATAAAGTTGTTTTGGCCTTGAAAAGAAAAAAGGCAAAGGCTCGTACTAATGCAAAAAAAAGAAATAACACGGCTCTGTGAGAAACCCGGGAGTGGAAAACGTACGTGTTTTGGACCTTGGAATTCAAAACTGGTCTACCAAAATTCTAGGTTGTCTACCATACATGATAAAAGTTAATCGATATGACAATCGAGGAAAAATATCTAGAACTTCGTAAAAAAAAATCTGTGAATCGAAAAATAACAGATACTCCTTCACCTACCTCGAAAACCGACCAAAATCTCGCCCATACATAGCGTTGTTTAAAGAAGAAATAAGCCACAAAATGTGCTGAATATTTCACGAGACACTTCTAATATGGCTTCCGATACGTTGTCCTCTTAAAAAAATTGTGTATGCGTCATGAAAAGTCTTAAAAATATGCCTGAGAGCCTCGAAACGATGACTGATTCTGACCAACTCCGTCCGCTGTTTTGATCACTGCGGCGATGTTTTGATTTGTTTGTTGATAAACACAAACGCGCCTTCTCATTGGTTGAAAAGTGTCGCGTGACTAGTTGGCCCTGTCCTTAAATTTAGGGATATTCCGGACTGTTAAAACTCGAAGTAATTACATGTAGCTGACGCAAAGCGCGGGAAAATGCATGCGAGCGTGACACAATTGGTTTTGGTTTTCCTTCTGATTGGATAAAAAAGTGGCGCGAATCTTTTAAGCCAATCACGTAGCGTAGTAAACGCAAAACCAATTACCTTTCGACACTCAAATGAAAACCGCTCTATAGAACTGACGCAGGGGTACCCAACCAGAATATATATAGTTCAAAGCCACATAAACATAGCATTGTTAAACGTACTTTAGTATTTAAACAATAGATAAAGGTTTGTTTTTATCCCCTAAAAATTTTTCATCTGTTCGGATTTCCTAGCTGAAAGTATAGTGATCCGAAAATTGTAGGGATCAAAATTTACCTTTTCGAAAATTTCAGCCAGAAAAAAGGCTCCCGAAAATTCTAGGTGACCTTTTTAGGGTAAAAATCCGTTAAAAATGGGCAATTATACGATTTTTTTGAAGTTCGAAAACCCTAGGAGAGGCAGGCAAGCAACAAATTTTTCAGAAAATGATCCGAAAATTCTAGACCTAAAATCGTCTTCCGAACAGTTAATTTTCCGAAAATTGTCGTTGGGTGCCCCTGCTGACGGATCTGGTGAAAACGCCCAAGTTATTGAAGGTTTTTCGTTACAAAACCTTTGGCCAAAATGTCAGTTTAAAGGAGCTACATTATGGTCTCTCCGTCTTGAAAACTTTGTCATCTGAGATTTTTCAAATCTATTTTGATCTCTTCCATCCTATCGTAACCATCCAAAATCCTGTGTTTCTGTATCCTTTTTTCGTGTTTTTCTATTTTATCAAGCTGATATATATATATATATGGCTGAATCCGCAAAACTTGTGCTTTTGATTGGCTGCCCGAACGGGCAAGCCATAGGAAAAGGAACGTTCGAGACTTCGTGTAGTCATCCTTAATCTGCATTATGTGGCTCGCGTTTCACTTTATCCCTTGAACGACTTTCTTTGCGACAAAAATTACAATGTTTTCAGGGCATTTTAAGCATATTTTCTCGTCAAAAAAAGTGTAAAATGAATTAAACATTAGCAACCAAGTGCAACCGTGTTGTCTTCTTTGTCGCGACGCGAGCAAACCTAAATTACATAACGCGGACATGTTCCAACGCATCCACGGTTCTCGTTTTGTTGATTCTAAGAATTTTTAATTCACACATCACAGGTTTGCTTTTTTAATTGTCCGCGTGGAAGCTTTTCACACATGCGAATGTTTTAAGTTCATTTACAAGACGATGTACTTTTGTAACTATGTGAAACTAAAAGTTTACGGTAAGTCGGCTTTACCCGACTTAGCTACCCTAAATTACGTCCGTGTTAGTCCCTGATTACGCATGAAATATTTAGAAAGATGAAAAGGTTCTAGACTACAAACACTTTTAACTGATCTACTGTCACAGCACAAAGGCTTTGTTTCCGTGCGTATCCAAGCATTTTTTTTATGAATTATGCAGGTAATTGTGTTTAATAAAGCTAAGTAAACCAAACTTAAATGGTCAAGAATGCGAGTACTTCACTTTCCTGTTGAGAGTAATTCAGGAAAAGAACTCCCGTTTAAAACGTGGAAAGGTCTTTGGTAAAGCAAGTGTATCAAAGGCGAGAACAGTAAGAAAAAGTTTTCATTCCATCTACTCTCGTTGTAAATAGACCTTTGTAGAGGTAAATTTAATTGGATTATAATCAATTCATTCTTTACTTATTTAATGGAACAATTTTGGAATTTAAATTTTCTCTTCCCTTCGGTCTTCCAGCAAGGCTTTTTAAAAAGTTTATCATAACCTAATTTAATGACTGGCAACTTGTCCCACAGATATTCGTCGTTTTGCTGAGCAATCATGGCCCTTTTACGAACAGGACGACAGAGTTATTCAGGAGACGTCTTGAAGGCTGCTTTTTCAGTAGCAGTCCTTGCGTCTTTGGTCGACGCCCAAAGTAAGGCTTTAGAATGAAATGGTAAATTGTAAAATTTGCACTGACTGATTTGCCGCTACTTTCGTGTAGTTTTCCACCTCTCGTGTTTTTAAACGTCAAGAGAAATTTCAGAACCATTCTTGTTGATTTCAATTGTAAATACAAATTGCTTTTTTGCAATCAAAATAAAACAAATAGAGTTAAGGCTAAATTCGACAAATTAAACAGCCGATTCGCGATCGCTTTAGCTTGGTGGTATCACCTTGATCAAACAGGATCGGAAACGGCAGAAAGCTGGGTTCCTTGATTTAAGAAGATATTTAACATTCATTACAGAGTTATTCTCAATCTTAACAATTTTATTAAGCTCCACAGAAATAGTACAAAAACGTCTAAACATGACAACATTTCCAAAAAGTGAGGGAAAAAAGAGGGTAAAATGTTTGTATTAACTCACGATTCACTCATCCGTGCTAGAAAAACTTCCCACATATAAAACGAGTCAGCAATAAGCCATTTTACATAGGAAAATGGTAGCAAGACATGTTACCAGTGACATGAAATGTATTTCGGCAGTTGTTATTGCCCAAAATGTATTCATAGTATAGTGGAATAATACGCCGGGAAATTACAACTTTTTCTTTCCCGTAATCAATTATTGTCGATTTCCAGATTCAAACTGAAAAAAGGATGCATAATTGTAACGACAACGATCTCTTTGAGGGAAAAAAAATATAAAGCCAGCGAATTTTATCGAGAAGCTTCGAACTGACTTCTTGCCTATTTTTTCACCCATATGACGTATGTTTGCAGTTGTAATTGACGTAGGTTATTTGTCGTCAAAAGATAAGTGTACAATTTATCCTATAATAATGACGACACCAATGCGCGCGTCGGATCGAAATCCACCAACCATGAGCGAGGTTCGTGGTTCACCAATCACTAAAAACCATAGTTTTACTCAGTAAATCGATACTATCGCCTGATGAAGACTTGTAGTACACAGTCGAAAAGTCGCGATCAATAAAGTGACTATCGTGAGAGAAACAATAAGCAAAACCCGTTATTCGTCAGTTATACGATGACTTGTCGATGAAGGTCTTCGGTTAAAAATTCTCCTAATTCTAAGACAACATTGTTAAAACACGAAGACCATTCCAGTTCTGTAACCGGCCTATTGGCTGGTTCACTGTATACATGCCAAAGACTGGCAAAGACTGCTCCACGCGGAGACCCTCGCCGAAGTGAATATCGCATCGAGCTCGAAACTGTTTAGGTTTGTTACTTTATATTAACAAATTAAAGCCATGATTTCCATGCTAACACTCATCAAATAAATATCAAAGAAAAAGTTTATGGGCTTAGATTGTGTCTAAAAAAGGTTGCGAAAATCGCGACAAATTTCAGTAGATATCAGTAACAAAGTTGACACAAGAAAAAGAAAGGAAAACGATTGATCTAGTTGTTGTCGTCTGTTATCTATGTTGTACACAGTGTTTTATTAAATAGCGATTTTAAATACAAGCCGAGTGCTGGAAATAGTACCCGCGAGTCTCTTTAAATGATGGTGCGTTTAACATCGCGTACTTGAGGCATTTAAAGCGCAAAGCGCGGTTTGTCGAGGGCGTGATCACCTATAATAAGTAACTTTCTGCTTTTCTTAACACAGAGGTCGCAAGATTCTGGCAAAGACAGGTTTAACAACAAATTCTATCTCCGAGATCAATTCTGGTTTCTATTGTTTGCAGGTACCACTACCAAGCACAACTTTTCTTTAAACACAACTATCACCACAGCGGCAACACCCTCTTCAACCCCAGTGGTAGTTCCGAAGGTCACATTCCAAGTAGCGATTGAATTTAAAGACATAGCTTGGAAAAAGGAATTGCTAAACAGATCAAGTCCTTTGCGCATTGCTTTGGCAGAAAACGTAACACAAACGATAGAGAATTTCTTCAAAGCGAAAAATGTAAGCGCCAGTGTTCAGGTAATAGAGCTGAAACCCGGAAGTGTTCTTGCGTTTTTGAATGTTTCTACAAATAAAACTGAAAATGATGCAAAAGAGATGCTCCAAAACCAAATGAAAAGTGGAATGATTGGCGGTCTACAAGTTTCAAATTCTTTGTTCTCTGGAAGTTTGTTTGATGTTGTACTTAAGTTAAAAGCCAAATGTAATGATTCCAAAGAACTCAAGGGTTTTAAGCAAAGCCGGAACTTGACACATGAAATCGAAAAAGTGTTGCCAGGGAACGAAACGGCAACAGTGGAAAAGGTCGCGTGCCTTGAGACTGAAGACGTTACCATAGTAACTGTTCGAGTCCAAGTGGAAAATCCTACGGAAAAGAATCCCAACGAACAGCTCAGAGATCTGAAGAAGAAGGTTGATGATGGTCGACTGGGAAACTTCACGTTGATTCCGGAATGGCAAGCTTACATTCCTGGGGAAAAGCTGTTTTCGGTTTCTTTTAATTTGACATTTACAAATGGGACAAGTGAAACTGTCGAGGTGCTGCAAAAGGCAATCATAGATTTGTTTCAAAATGAGCCTGACTTCAGTTACGTTACAGTAGAGCTAAAAAATAATCAGACAGTCATTGTCAAAGTTGGAATGAAAACAGCTGCTCCGGATCAACCCTATGAAGCTCTAGCACCGCTCAAGCAAAGTGTGACTGATGGACAAGTAGGAAACGTAACTTTAATACGGAACTCGTTTAGGGCTTATATCAACCCCAACACAATCACTCAAAAAGTATTTGAGGTTCACTTCCGTCTAAACGTGTCTGACTGTGATAAGAGCATTACCTCACAAAACGGTGAGGCGAAGAAAGCTGTTGAGGAGTACGTAAACATGCTAGCGGGCAACGAATCCTTCATAGATTCGAAATTAATAAACATATCGTGCGTTAATGGACATTATTACCCAAACGATCGCTTTGTGTATGCAGTATTTCTCGTATACATTACTCCTGACGCACCTGAAAATTTTCTTCATCACTTACACAAGTGCGAATATATTTGGGACTGGGGAGTGAAATTTGTTACTTTAACACCGACCTCGCCCGAAATCTCAGTCGGAAATTCTACCCATCTCTTTTGTTCAAGTTCGACTACTCCTACTAGTCCTACAGAAGGAACCAGTCCTACTCCTCCTAAAGAAAGAACCAGTCCTACTAGTCCTAAAGAAGGAACCACAAAGAAAGTAACTTCCTCAGGAACCCCTCCCATTGTACAAAATCCTTGCCTGTACGTCAAAATGAAGTTGGCCATTACATGGGGAGAGTTTTGTTCTAAATTAGAGCACGGCCTGAAACAGAAGATAGCTTGGAATTTGTACGACAAAGATGGAACTAGGGTATCCCCTGACAGGATAATTTTCATCAACGTCAAGAAAAGCTGTGCTGAGCCAAGCAAAAAAACTGAACGAGCGGAGGTTTGGTTTTACGTTTCCAAGGTGGGCTCGAATAAATTACATAAATGTCTTACACTAAAGGCCTACAGAGTGCTGACGATGTTCGTGGAAAATGCAAATACCAAAGAGCTTGGACCAGAATTCAAAGAAAAGGTATAGAGATTTATCAGTTCGATATATTAAAAAGAAGTAGAAATATTCCGCGTCAAAGTAAATACTTATCCTTCCACAGTTGTTTGGTTTTTGTTTGTTATTTGTTTGTTCACGAAGGACTTAGGAGTGCGTTCCAGATCGAATTAAAATTTGTAAGTGTTGGTTTTTAAGGAGAGCGGAAAACCAGAGTACCCGGGGAAAGACCTCTCGGGGCAAGAGGGAGAACCAACATCAAATTCAACCCATGATACGGGCATTGATGCCAGGATTTGTGCCCGGGCCACATTAGTGGGAGGCGAGTGCTCTTGCCGCTGCGCCACCTTTGCTCTCCTGGGTCTTCTCCCATCTGGTTGTTTAACAGAAACGTCAATTCCTTTTTAAAGTGCTTTGCCATTCTTGTTTGTAGGTCATACATGTTGATCTTGCCGGCAATGATGCCTCCAACCATAGCCTTGGTTTCTCATCTGGCAAACTTTCGACGTGGTCCATTACTCTTATTGCAATTGCAGGCGCCGTTGGTCTCCTTTTACTTACCTTGGCATGCTGTTGTGTAAGTAGCAACTACAATCATAAACGAAAATTGAAGGTATAACTTGCTAAATCAGCTTTGAAGTAAATGGTTGAGTGGTGGTGATCGAATGAAGACTGACTATCGCTGGAGGAATGCTCAGTGCCTTCTTGTCACCAGTCGCTGTCAATCGCTTATTTTGAAGATATTTGAGTTAATCGTTGAGGAAAACGAGTGCGAAGAGAGTGATGGGAAGGGGAGAAAAAGCGAAGTAATTTCTTGTTTGTCCTTCCCATCATCCACTGCTCGCGCTCTTCGATTGTTTCCATTCTCCCCTCCACTCGCTCTTCTTCGTCTCCAGTGCCCCTTTTTAAAAGTCCGTGCTCCTCAGATCACTAAGCCTTGGGAAAGCCTGTGGAGTAGTCAGGCTCAGTGCAGTCTTACAAATAGACCTACTGGCATACTGGAAGATGCACATACCTCAGGGAAATCACAGGTGTACCAAGAAAAAGCGGACAAGCAGTCTGGCAGCGAGATGTTGTTGCAAAATTAATAGATATTTTAAGTAACAAGTATGTTAATAGAATTTAATCTGCTCCATCTTTATTATCTAGGTATTTTGCTGCGGTGCTAAACGACGAAAAAAGGGAAAGGCTGTCGACAAAGCCCAGAAAATGAACGCAATTCTTGTGGACGCAAATGATGCCGAAGGACGATCAGGAAAAGACAAGAAGGGAACGAAAATTAAAGGAAGGAGCGACACAGATGAAAACGCTAACAAAAATGAAGGCAAAGAAAAGAAAGTAAATGTTCTACATACCTTTTTGTAGCACTTGTTTAAAATGAGTTGGTTTTGTTTGGAAACTCATAATTCTTTTATAGTTTCACTGAAAGGTGTATTAACCACGCCTGTCATCTCCAACTTGGTTCCCATTTGTTCCCAGCATTCTTTTACGAACTCAGTTTTTCATTCTATCTCGTATTTAAAATAAAACATAAGAATTTCCTTTTTTTTTGAAAGGCAACTTTACTGCTGTGTCTATTTTGACTTACAATAACTCTTAAGAGCGAATGCACAGAAAAATCGAGCAAAATCGGCAAATCGTGGCCACAGCTCAAAACCTAACTTACCCTCATTTTCAGTCTGTAATAAGGTTTTAATGAGTTTTTAACACTGCTGAGGTTTAAATTTCAAAATGCGACCGAGTTTGGGAATTATTTGAGATTTTCGATTTCAACGGTCAGCGGGCCTAAAATTAGCCGCCGAACTCGGGAAAATAGCCCAGTGACAGAATTGAGCTGATTTTTAAAAACGAGCGAATATATTGGCAATCTTCCACTTAAATCTCAAAAAGCAGATATCTAACAATTTCTGAACGGCACATTTTTTAGATTTAGAGAATAGAATATCGACGAACCAGCAGAATTTTGAAACGTAATTTGCACAATGCTTATAAATACAACAATTTACCGCTAAAACCAAAATCGAATTTTCTATATGGGGGAATTCTTCAAATCACCCCAAATCCCGCTTACTACCTAATGAGATATGGTACTTCAACATTATCTGAAAGTTAGTCTGGTGTTCTCGCGAACGCTTGTAAAATAGACTGATTATTTTGAGGTTATTTCGCCCCAAACAACCGCTAATTGACCCCAGGGTCAATTGACACGTGCACGTCAACTTAGTTTTATGCGTCGATTTGAGCTCGTTAAAAGGGAGAAACTAACAAGATTCTTTTAATATGTACCTGTTTTAATGAAATACACGCAATCTTCAAAAGGAGAGGCCGTTAAATGGGTAATTTCTGTTCTTGAGATCTTGTAGATTGCAGCATGGCGTCTGCGAGTGGACCTGAGTCTAGGTCTGTTTTCCCGTGGCTGCGAAATCACAATAACATCAAGAAATAATTCTCCCTCGAATCTTCGTAAGTGAATCAGCTTTGCAGTGCCTTACCTGAGATAAAAAGTGGGCCGAAAAGCAAACATTTCTAGCGCAATTTGGATCCTTTGTGGAACGCAGTGTATTGCAGAGCGAAAGGTGAGTAAACGTGGGAAAGTACGTTACCTTTGATTGCGTGACCAGCCAGTAAACGATAGTCTCCAGCGAAAAATAGGATTCGCAAAAATCTTGCTGATGTATATTTAACAGTTTGTTACTATAAATTTACACCTGGTTTGTCTAAAACTTTAAACAATGCATATCTATCCAAGAGTATACAATGTTTCGAAAGATCCACACCCTAAATAACTGTGGGCTACTCCATTTTTTCCCCATCACCGATGTGCACTTCCTTCCCACTGTCTTTTGCATGAGGCTTGTATGCCTTTTTAACTGTTATCGACACTTAAAACTGGCCGTTTAAGGCCTGGTTTAAGAACTTGACTGACTTAAAAAACTGTCGCGAACATGCGCTATTATTGTTGGACTTTGGAAGCTTTAAGCCCAAAATGATGGTGCAATCTCGAGAAATTTGCCCGGGTCTAATTATAAGACAGGGAACGGGTACTAAGAAAGGGACGGTCTCATTTAGCAACCCGTGGACAATCTGGGCATGCTTGCCTTCTGTCGCAGGGGCAACCGTTAAGGCCAGGTACGCCGCCCCCACCCGAGAGGATTGCATGGCATCCACCATTTCAGTCGCTTTTTCTACATCATGACCTTCAATTATCATGAATTATAATGCCGGCCTTGATCGTTGCCACCTTACCAGAAGTCTAATCTTCGCACTGTTAGACCATGAGAATCTCTATTATTATTCTATAAATGCACCATTGACCTTTCCTTGCTCAGCTTCCGGTAAACCGATACTCCGAAGCAAAAATAGCTTTACAACGACTCTATCCAGGCCAGAACTCCTGATATCAACAAATATACCCCCCCCCCTAAAGAGAGCAAACGTTCCCCGAACTATTCACTTGACCCACCCCATCCCTTCGTTAAGAAACACTACGCACTCAGTTCACTGGACAAAACGCGCTCGTGAATATACCAAACTATAGCCGTTCATCCTACAAGCAATCTTAGTTTCAGCAGGCGTGGCCACGTTTCCAGTTGCTGTAAGATTAATTCGACACCTGCAACAGACACTGTAAATTAAATAGCAGCCACAACGCCCTTTTTTGAAACAGTCAGGACGAGAAAGTTTATAAAAGACTTAACAGGTGTGCGCGGCGGTTTCCTTTTCTTCCTTCCCTCCCATTGTAGCACTCAAATTCTGACCCTGATATTAATTCTAGTAGTAATCAATCGTTCCTGAGCCGATAGGCACAAGGATACTAGTTTCTTGCAAAATATGCCTTCGGCCGCTGATTAGGTTTGGTTCTGTGCTTTGAAATAACTTTAGGAACGAAACATGATACGTGAGGGGAGTGTCCGGCTAAGGGCAAGTGACTCTCGGTGGTGAAGACATATACTGAGCTTGTCAGTATTTCGTAGCCTGTACCACGTCGCGAAAATAGAACAAGCCAAAGAAAAATAAGACGCCTTTCTTTCCCCAGCCCCCGCAGGTTTTTCGCATTACTTTTTACTGCACAACTGATTCTACCTTTTCGAGCCGGAGCGAACATGGACGCCCTTGGGGTTAAGTTTCCACTTCATTTTCGGCACCTGACTAAACGCAAGCGCTGACTTGTGCGCCTATGCTTCGTTTGCACTGAAGTAGCAGTATATGACCACGACAGACTTGCTGCTATCCTTGGTTTGAAACCGCAATGGGCAAGAACAATTTCTTGAAAACAGCAAACTATTTAATTTTCCTCCTTAGTAGACATGGAGAACATTTACTAGGACTTAAGCAATGCCATTGCTTAAGTCCTACTAGACTTGAAAAGAGAAAGCATGTTGCTTTCTCTTTTTAATGATTTACGGCTAAACAGTACATTTTCATGTAGCTTTTACGCAAAATTAAATACTTAGTTGTTTGCAGAATTGCATTTAACAACAAATTACAGAAATTTAACTAAGTTTAGATCTCATAGATAAGAATTGAACGGAAAAAACTTTTGGGGTAAAAAAGTCAAAAAATAATGTTTGCTGGAAAATCACTTAATGGACGCACAATAGCAGAGATATCATGCCTGTAATTTTCTGTTCAATGCACCTTATGACAAGTCTGACTAATCCACTGGTAACCCATGCCTTAAAACCGCCTTGAATCTTAAAATTTAATCCATTTGCCTTTCATGCGTAGTGGTTGGGGGTAAAATCAGAAGAACAGAACATTCAGTTAGTATGTTTGCTAATCATCTTAGTTAACCGCCTTTAAAATAGGAACAAAGGACACCTGGTCATACAGGAAAATGAATTTACTGTATCCCGAAAGCTTTGGTTTCCCGTGCACTTATTTTTCGCAGGAGACAATCGATAATTGCCTGGTCACGCAATCGGAGGTTAGTAACTAATTTTAAAAAAGTCATTGATACCATCGCCGCTTAGCAAATACACTACGTGCTGCAAAGGATCCAAATTGCGCTTATAGAATGTTTTCCTATTCGGCCCACTTTTTATCTCAGGTAAGGCACTGCAAAGCTGATTCATTTACGAAGGTTCGAGCGAGAATTATTTCATGATGTTATTCTGATTTCGCAGCCACGGGAAAACAGACCTAGACTCAGGTCCACTCGCAGACGCCATGGTACAATCTACAAGATCTCAAGAACAGAAATTACCCATTGAACGGCCTCTCCTTTTGAAGATTGCGTGTATTTCATCAAAACAGGTACATAGTAAAAGAATCTTGTTAGTTTCTCCCTTTTAACGAGCTCAAATCGACGCATAAAACTAAGTTGACGTGCACGTGTCAGTTGACCCTGGGGTCAATTAGCGGTTGTTTGGGGCGAAATAACCTCAAAATAATCAGTCTATTTTACAAGCGTTCGCAAGAACACCAGACTAACTTTCAGATAATGTTGAAGTACCATATCTCATTAGGTAGTAAGCGGGATTTGGGGTGATTTGGAGAATTCCCCCATATAGAAAATTCGATTTTGGTTTTAGCGGTAAATTGTTGTATGTATAAGCATTATGCAAATTACGTTTCAAAATTGTGCTCGTTCGTCGATATTTTATTCTCTAAATCTAAAAAAATGTGCTGTTTAGAAATTGTTAATATCTGTTTTTTTTGAGATTTAAGTGGAAGATTGCCAATATATTCGCTCGTTTATGAAAGTCAGCTCATTTCTGTCGCTAGGCTATATTGCCGCGTTCGGCGGCTAATTTTAGGCCCGCAGACCGTTGAAATCGAAAATCTCAAATAATTCCCAAATTCGGCCGCATTTTGAAATTTAAACCTCAGCAGTGTTCTAAATTCATTAAAACCTTATTACAGACTTAAAATGAGGGTAGGTTAGGTTTTGAGCTGTGACCACGGTTTGCTCGATTTTTCTGTGCATTCGCTCTTAAGAGTAACAAGTAAAGTTAAAGAACATCTAAATTAATTACAGTGCATGGTCAGGGATTTCAGCAAGCTCTCATGAGCTTTTCTAGGCTGATTCCCTTAATGAATAGTCTGCTACACAGCCATTTTTAGTGTCGTCACGCAACGCTCCTCCCCACAAATAAACCTGTTTCAATCTGCAGTTGATAAATTTGACGATTTTTGCTATGTCGGAAAGAGCTGTAGTTTAAAGCAAACTATTTGCTTTGAGGTTTCCCTCTTTAAACGGAAGTCAATCTAAACGCCAACAATGTTATAAAATAGTACGCTACATTTCTCGTAATTTCTTGATCTGCTGATGCCATAGGATAAAAACTTTGATGAAGGCGAAAAGGGAAAGGTTGTATGTTACGAAAACCAAGCCTATGGCTTATCGAAAGACGATGGCCGGGAGCGAAGCTCTATCAGCCATTTAGCTCCTGCCATTGTGACAAGCCACGTCCCCGATACAGACAAAGCTGACGAGGAAAGTAACACGAACAAGGGTGGACAGGTTTCCGATACTGCTTCGTCAGGTTCCGGCGGCTCTCGGAGGGGATCGGCAAGCGCCGGAGGAGAGGTCTGTGTATATGTATGGTTTTCTCAACAACAACGTTACTACTGAAACACGTAGAGAATTAAATAGTGTGATATGCTTTTCCTACATTTTGCCATGTATCTTTTACAGTCGTGAAGAATTGATTAAAATAATTTTTTCCCGGCAAAACAGAAACAACGTTTTGATACCTAAAGAGCAGCCTTTAGCGCACTGTGAATAAAAGAGGTCTGTTTTAGCCATAAAAATGGGGCCGTTTTGGTGATTGAAATAAAATCCTATTTTTGGGTCTACTGTTGAGTTCTTTTAATCAGGCTTAATACGGTCCAATTAGCTAGGGCTGATTTGCACCCATGGGATGAAATGCCTTCTTCATGACGCTGTTTTGGTTTAATTTGTGCTTAAATGGCTCCAGGAGAAGTTGAATCAGACTTTGGCCTGCAGCGCTAAATTGGCACTTTAGGGCTAGAGCAGTCTTTTAATTTACAGTGCGTCAATACCCCGAATACTAAACTTTTGAATATGTTTTTTTTTGTCTCAGGGTCAGGGAAGTGGTTCCAAACAGTCCAGTCCTCTTGCCTTACGACATATTGACGCTGACCTAAAGGACCGCGGTAGAAGACGTTCTTCTGCACACTCCATTATTGACGACGAGGATGTGCCCCTGACACACAAGACTGGTACCGTGGGTATCGTAGCTTTGGCGCTAAGAAACAGAAACGAAAAGAAAAAAGAAGCTGAATTTAAGGTAACCAAAGGTTTTTTAGACAACGCAGTTGCACGTTTTAAGCGTGACTTGATATAGCCGTCTCTTACTCCATCTTAGATCTAAGAGAAACTGAAGAATGAAAGGCAACGTAGCACGAATATTGGAAGCCAACGCTCGAAAAAAAAAAAACGATCCTTCATGGCAGAAGAACTTCAGTGTTTTTACACGTGCATGTGCACCGTAATTTTTAGGGAGTTATTATAACTCCAAAAATGGAGTAAAAATTTTAGGTACAGGATAACCCCTTTTTTGGGGTTATTTTAACTCCTAATTTAACTCCGAATTTGGGGTCATTTTTACTCCTGAAAAAGAGTTCTTTTTACTCCCAGTCTTGGAGTTAAAATTACTCCGAAATGGGGTTACTTGTACTCCTTACAGGGGTTGTTTTCACTCTTTTTGGAGTTAATTTAACTCTGAAAGTGGAGTAAAAATTTTAGGTACAGGATAACTCCTTTTTGGGGTTATTTTAACTCCTCAAAATCTGTGGTCACTTTTACTCCTGAAAAGAGTTCTTTAAACTCCTTTTTGGAGTTAAAATAACTCCACGAAAAATAACTCCACTGTAAGGAGTTAAATTAGCCCCACTAGAGGAGTTATTATAACTCCCTGAAAATTACAGTGTATAGTTTTCACTAAGTCTCTAATTGCCCCCAATACAACAAAAACAATCCAAATCAGTATTTTATTTCATCTGAAAAATACTGTACAGTGAAACATGCACGTGTCACTCATTATTATGTCAGGTTAGTGACACAGAGGAGAGGCACAGATAAGAACCAGAATTCTTCAGGCTAAGATTTTGAAAGAACCAGATGAAGTAGAAATGTTAAAACAGATCGCTATGGAGTTCTTAAAGTCCACTAATCATTCTAATGGCAAAAAAAGTTTCTATTGGCTTAAATTGCAGTCATTTAGACATAACAACATGCATATTTTGTACAAACATTTAAAACCTCCAACATTCTTACAAAAAGTCTTTTTTCCTTAAGAAAATAAGAACCTCGAATGTTTGAGAACCTAAACAGCTTAATTTCCAAGAAACAGAAAATTTATAAGAGCCTTTTGAGGCTAACTTCGAAAAGCACCTATTACTTAGTCCTTACTGTATACTACTAAATGTAAGAGCAGGGGGGGAGGGGAGGAAGAGTTAGGGTTAGGGTTTTAGGGTTAAGGTTAAGGTTGGGGTTAGGGTTAGGTTAGGGTAAGGACTAGGGATAGGTTAGGGTTAGAATCAGATTAGGTCGAGGTTGGGGGTTAGGGTTAGGAATAGGTTAGGGTTAGGTTGGAGGTTAGGGTTAGGAATAGGTTAGGGTTAGGTTGGAGGTTAGGGTTAGGAATAGGTTAGGGTTAGGTTGGAGGGTTAGGGTTAGACGAGCAGTCTCAACTGATTTCAATGGTCATAACACATGAGTTGATCCACTGAGTTAAACGTTCGCCTTGTCAGGAAAAGGGTGTTACGTTAAGCTGGTTAGGGTGGATAGCTAAAGTTGAGCTAAGGCTTAGGGTTAAATAAGGATAAAGGTTACAAACAAGAAGTACGGTTTGTTGAGGGTTAACGTTTGAGGGACTTCTGGGCAGGATACCAAATAACGTTGCGTTACATATCAATTACATCGCCGTACTGAGCGTAGGATTGAATTTCAAAAGACGGGTCAGGAGGTGAGAAATACAGAGATGTAGTTTCAATACAGGCGATTTTCGAAGACTAAACACTGGTCAAGCAAATAGTTTTAAATTAACGTTATCTTACAAGACGTTTCGCTTCGCTTTCTTCGTGTTTGACCACAGCAGAGCACAGATAATATAAACATTTCAGAGAGTAAATATTCCAGCTCCGAGGGGGCGAGTAAAACCAACGGCCACATCTGAAAGAAAAGGACAAAAGGAAAACCTTGTTTAAAGAAAATTCCTCAACACATGTTTAAAAAGTAATATATCTCTTTTACATCATTTTCCCTAGATCAGTTTCATCCCGCAATGGTTTTATAATCGCCCGTACCGGTGCATAAAGCAGATTAAAAACATTGTACCGAACATTCCAGACAATCAAGCATAAACGGCGCTCGTCGTCGCGACGGTGCTATAGCGCGGGAACTTTAACATGCTTTGAGGAAAAATAGTTACTCTTCCGCGATCCGATCAGCATTTAGCTTGCAATGCCAACAATAAATTGAAAATGAACGACAATTCAGCCTGTGCAGTAGGACGGCGGCTCTTTTTGGACACAGTCAATTTCCAGAGTCGCTCGACACATGACCAAAAATAAACCTTCGCTATACGAAACCACAGACTTTGACTTCAACTACACTTTCACGACTTTGTAACATAACCTTTCCTGGCAAAAAGCCTGCTACTCACCGTTGTTGCTCGCTTATTCAAAGATCAGCACCTCCGTCGTAGAAACTGAAACACAACAACAGAACAGTCTCACTGTAATGGTCAAATATTAAACATGTTGTTAACCTTTCTCGCAGTGCATTCTGGGAAATCCGTGTTCAACTCGTGCGGGACACATTACATCCTGGCAATAACAACACAATTTAGAAGTCTCCAGCAAGGCAAAAATCACAGCCAAATACTTCGTTGGCCCTCTTTTCTTATGTCCAAACTAACCAATTTGCCCCTTATTGCCTGCTGGAGACTTCTTCACGGTGTGCAGAGCTGGGCAGAGACGTTATACACCATCCACCGGATGGTCTCTCGATTTGCCCGAAGCTCGGTTCTTTGAGCAACGAGCGCCCATTTAAGCCTTCCCGGACTTTATGATGTCCCAGGCACTTTGCAAACCGTGGAAATAGAATTTCTTGCCAAACTCGGCTCATATTAGTCCCCGTTTCGCACACGCTCCGATCAAAACCTCTCCATTCACGAAGAGAGCCGTTGAAAGGAGAAAGATACCGCGCAAACTCGAACCTTTCAAAACTAGAACCGGTTCCCCTCGGACAAAAAAAAAAAAAAAAACGGAAGTCCTTTCTAAAGCGAGTGAAAAGAAAACAAGAAATAAAATAAATAATAAACTTACTTCTGTTGACTTCCACGCTGCTCCTCCCTGGTTTTCTTTAATGAAAAATATCTATGATAAAAAATGACATTTCATAAAAATAATTTACATATATAATATACACCGTAATTTTTAGGGAGTTATTATAACTCCAAAAATGGAGTAAAAATTTTAGGTACAGGATAACCCCTTTTTTGGGGTTATTTTAACTCCTAATTTAACTCCGAATTTGGGGTCATTTTTACTCCTGAAAAAGAGTTCTTTTTACTCCCAGTCTTGGAGTTAAAATTACTCCGAAATGGGGTTACTTGTACTCCTTACAGGGGTTGTTTTCACTCTTTTTGGAGTTAATTTAACTCTGAAAGTGGAGTAAAAATTTTAGGTACAGGATAACTCCTTTTTTGGGGTTATTTTAACTCCTCAAAATCTGTGGTCACTTTTACTCCTGAAAAAGAGTTCTTTAAACTCCTTTTTGGAGTTAAAATAACTCCACGAAAAATAACTCCACTGTAAGGAGTTAAATTAGCCCCACTAGAGGAGTTATTATAACTCCCTGAAAATTACAGTGTGTTTAATACACCGGGGCTTTAAAATTATTGCAATTTTTGAGTCATGTAAATGGTATAAACAATTCAAAGAAAACATAAAAATTGCTCTTTAACATTGGAATTGACTAAGTTATTATTCTTATCATAAATATATTGCCATTGCCATTATTACCAGCGAGTCACAATTATAACTACTGCCGATTGCTATCATCATCATCATCATCATCATCATCATTACGAGTACATTATCTCAGTCACTATTATTATTATTAAATTTAGTACCTGTAAATTATACACCAAGACGTGCTTTAAGACTAAAACAGATGCTCGTTTATCCTTTGGCTCTCAGAATCTTAGCAAAGACGTACCTGAGGAGGAAATCAAATATCCGACGAACACCCAAAGCAAAAATAGATCACCTGATGTGCTCCCTGGTATGTTTTTTGGTTGTTATTGTTGTTTTTGTTTTCGTTTTGTTTTGTTCCAATTGTTGTTGCTTCTTCTTCCAATAATGAGCAGTATTCACGACGTCTTCACGGGAGGCAGCGTGGTCGAGCAGATGCTGCGTTGGACTTGTGAGTTCAAGTCCCGACCTGACCGCTAGCTGGATTTGTTCTCGGTAGTACCGAGTTCAAATCCTCGGCCACGCTTGTATAATAGCAAACTGGTTAAGCCATGTTTATGTCCCAATTGTTTCATTATCCCGGAAAAGCCCCATAAGGCCAGGGGAGAGAATAATTAAAGTATTATTATTATTATTATTATTATTATTATTATTATTATTGTTATCATTCTTTCCTAACTTGGAAAGCTACTTTTCAATGACAGTAGAAAGTCATCTGTAATCAGTAATTCAAAAGATTGAAAATTAGCTGACGCACGTACACAGTGAATGGTAAAGGTTATTTAAGCACGGGCATACCACTTAAAAATATTTCCTTTTGAAGTCGGCTTTAATCTCACACAGGAAAAATGCTGATGGTGACATGCTTAGCTTGACCAGGGATTCCATAAGTTTAATACTTGATGCATTCTGCAATACAATGGATTTCTTGAACCGCTCTTTTCTAAAAAAATAGCTCTTTCAAATATTGTCTTCCGTTACATTTTCAGCTCCGAGGACCCGAGTTAAGTTATCATCAAACCCTGATTACATCAATGCTAACTGGATAAGGGTATTTTGCTTTTTTGTTGTTGTTGTTTTCTTCTATTACACTTGCTTTGAATCATTTTTGTATTCCTAAGCTGCGTTTCCTTGGGAGAATTCAAGTACTTTAATTTCGTTACGATAAAACAAAGAAATCACTTGCTGCCAGTAATATAGGCTATGTTGGCGTAGACAAAAAGGATTGTGGCGGTCGTCGAGTTTTCGCCGCTTGTCAGGTGGTTTTCATCCCAAATAAACGCGCCCAGGGATCATGAATCAGATTCAAACAAATCTGTATTTACATTCAGTCATCTTTTTAATCGAATCGAAGAGTGGATAATTCTTTATTAGATCCAAAATATATTTGTTAGATTTTTGTAAAGAAACGAAAAACCTGTGTTTGTATTCAAAATTCCTGTTTTGGATACTCCGAAAGATAGTTTCCTGAGTAAGGCAGAACTGAATATAATCCTCCATTCCTTTAGGATCACAAAGGACAGCAGCGTTACATAGCGACCCAACATCCCCTGTACGAGACCGCGGAGGATTTCTGGAGAATGGTTTGGGAACGAGAGTCTCGATTGGTTGTCATGGTAAACGAGGAAGAAAAAGAAAAACCGGTAAAAGCGAGGTGTCATTTAAAACGTAAATAAAGATTTTCATCTTAATTATGCGCTGGTAAATTGGAAACTTTAACAAAAGGAGTGAGACCAAAAAAATAGGCCTTTAGTGACTGCTATGTGTACGTAACCAATTTCACAGATATGAATCACTTATAGTTATGTTTGTGTCAATGCTAGACGGAATTTATGAATTATCTGCCAAGAGGAGAAGGAAACACCAAGAGCTTTGGAGGCATCGAGGTCACTATTAAACAAATTGTGAAGAAAGCTGACTACACGATGACTATTTTAAATGTGGCGGACAGCAAGGTAGACTGCAATTTTACTTGATAGCGAGTAAGCTGAGCGAGACTAAAACTACCTTTCACAAATATGTCTTCTGTTTTCAATATGTATTCATCACTTCTTTAATTAGAATTCCACGCTTCGAAAAATTTAGAGCTACCTTGCACAGTATAGGATAGCAAACAGTACCGCAGGGAAAGACTACTACTACTAGGCATCCTTCATTTGAACTACAGTCAACAAACACACGAGTTTATAATCGATATCGGTCGGGCATATGGACCTATCGTCACGGTGGGAATATTGGTAAAACCAATCAAACAATGACTTATCCTTCATTTGGGAAACGTACTTTGTTCTTAAGCACACAAGCATAGCCGCCCTGACGTCATATATTCACTTGACATATATGCACATCCCCTTGACATCTCCAAAATGCAATGAGTGGATTAAGTAAATTGAAGTTTCGGATCTGGAAATCATTAGCAAGTTAGCCTAGTATGAGTTAGTTTAGAGCGCGGAAAATTCGCGTAACTGAAGTGTGGCAGCGGGCACGTTCTCTATCCTCCTTTATTTTCTCTTGTATTGAGGTCAATTATTAATGCAAAATACTTTCTCAACTCTGATTGGCTTGAACTAGATCAATAGTACAGCGACGCTCCTACATAGTTTATGGGACAATACTATTTTACGATTAACTTTGTGTTAGTCTGAAATGTCAACCATCTGCTCACACCACCCCCCACCTCCTTCCAACGGTCCCTTAACCGGTAATGAAATATTTCAGACTAACTTTGTCCCTTATTAATGAAATATTGCTTATCATTGCAGAAAGCCTCATCCCCGCGCGAAGTCTCTCACATGAAATTCACCTCGTGGAAGGAGCGTGCCATGCCAAACGTGGCCTTGTTTGTTGGGTTCGTAACGGCAACGAGGGAAGCGAGGAAGAAGTATGGCGATATCAAAGCTCCTACTATTGTACACTGCAGGTTTGTAAAATTACATGTTTTTGGGGTGGTTTATCTCTTACATTGTATCTTTTCCAATTATTCTTTAGATCAAATAAGGCCGTTTAAAACTGATTGTCATCAATATCAAAAGAATCAATCAAATTTGAAAGTAAATACATGTTGGCGGTAGCAGCAATTTCGTCTGCTGGACTTGGGTGTGGCTCCTGGGAAGATGGAGGGAAAATAAAAAAAGGGAGAGCGATACAAAACCAAAGCATTCGCGAAATTTCTTTTTAGACGTTGTTTTGTGTTTACGGTTTTAAAGTGCTAACTATAGTTTTTTGGTTCTCAGCTACGATATCGGAACGTGCATCCATAATATCCCACTGTTAACGCTTAAGGTTGAGTAAAACGGTGAACAAAAACATACAACTTTCTTTGCAGCATTGCTGCAAAACGAGTTCAAAAGCGATGTTTTGCACGATTTAGTACCCAGGAATTACACCTTTGTTGCAAAAACAATGTTGTTTCGGGTTGTAAAACGAGCAACATTCCTTTTTAACTCCCTTTCAGAAGCAATGTTGCAAAAACAGTTGCATGAGTGTGTTTTGCCCGTTTTACCGTAGCTATATAATACTTCTTTGCATTCCCTTTCAGTGATGGCCTAGGTTTTACCGGGGTGTATATTACTGTGGATATTGGCGTTAAGAGTCACGAGGAGAGTAAGACATCAGTTGTTGATGTCTTTGAGCTGTCAAAGAATCTTAGGCGTGACAGACATGGTATTGTTTGTTCCTTGGAACATTACAACTTTATCTACCAGGTTAGTGGAAAATCAAAGAGGAAACGCACTCTACTCTTGTTTTTAGCGTTTATTAGCCAATTCTTTGTCTCTGACATTTGTTCAGTACCACGACTAATGTTGTCATGACTTGATGAGAATGCCTATGGGAGCGTGGCTTTAATCTTCAAGATCGTCGTTTCATCACTGAATAACGATCGTCACGACTTCGATTTCGGAAAGAAAGAGTCTCAAGACTAATTTCGTAGAAACGAGCTGACGTACGCAATAATATTGAGACAAGGGTAACGTTGTACGAAAGAACGTATAGGTAAATATCAAAAAAGTGAAGAGTAAAATCGTACGAAGGGAACTCACGGAAAACTGAAATTGTTGGCCGTCATAGAACATCACGGAAGTAGTAGTTCACGATTTGGAAAAGAAGTTAATAAATAAGTTTAAAGGAGAATGCATGGAAACCTCTCCTAAATGTTTGAGAATTTCAGTCTGAAGAAGTCTTTTACGGATTTTACGAAAACTTCCGAAAACAAATAAATAACTATTAAAACTGGGAGCTCCGTCAGTGTGCTAGCATTTTCATGGCTGACCTAACTGTCATACTGCCTTAAAGTCATGAACGGGCGACCAAAATGTTCAGTTTGGAGAACACTGAAACTTTTAAAATCTATTCGCCAGCTGACGCCTGAATGAAAACGTTTATTTTGAGCCCTGGTATATAAAGTTGGAACGCTGTAATCCTCGACGACATTTTTTGCCATCCTGAATGTAATGCCCTCTAATTTAGTTTGCAGCGTTTAACATTAGAAAGACGAACGAACAAAAAAGGCAAATAAACTCAGTCTTATTAAGCAAGTTAGATGGAAGGTCAGTAAAGCGGAGTTTGTTCTGATTCCTATAGGCACTATATGAGTATACTGTGAACTACGACGAGTCAGCTGAGGTAATTATAATTGATAGCAATTCGATTGTCTATACTACAGTACTTCAGTTTTTGTTCTTATCCGTGGGTTATTCACCTTCTATACAATTCGTGTGATTTTAGTGTTAAAGTGAAAGGGTCTGTAGCCCTTTCTACAATAGGCTGATTTAGCAACAGAACAGGAACGCAGTTGACGACGGCGCCCGCAAATCAAACAACTGGCTTGACCAATGGCTGAGCGGCAAACTGGGCACCGGAAGTAGAGTTTAGTCCTTTTCGTCGTCAAATGACGTTTCCGTTCTGTTGCTAAATCAGCCCATTAAAGACAATACCGTCACGTTGAGAAATGCTGATAGTGAGGCGCATTCCCCTTTTCTTATCTAAAGGCTAGCTGCGAGATCTTGCCATAAAACCCAACGAAGGCTGAATGTAGCTTTGTTTACTCAACTGGGTGGGTGGGACGTTGATAGGAAAGCAACCCTATGGTCCCCTAAGGGTGGGGGTGGAGTTGAACTGTGTAACCGGAAAAATCTATAGCTACTCCCTGGTATATAACGGGGCTTCAAGGCGTTTGCCATTTTTTAAATGCTGGTGTCATTGAACAGTAACTTCCTCGTTCTTCACGATATTTAATTTTGATAAGGTGCTAAGCGCACTGTTTTCAGACGCTTCTGCTTACTGCCATTTATAAAAAAAATATTCCTGTTTTTTTTTTTTGCTTTCAGGCACAAAAGCTGTGAGATCATGGTTTCATTAGTAACCGGCGCAGCAGCTGGACTCATTACCAAAAGTAGTAGAGAAACGTATAAACCATAGCATTCACTTCAAGGGCGGATCCAGCTTTTTTGGGGAGTTAGGTCTTTTGTAGTCTTTTTTTATTACATTTTGAATGATAACCGTTTGTCTTAAAGAATGTGCCAGTTGTAAGATTTTCACTCGATCAGTTGTTGTAAGCTTCTGTTAGGTATTTATTTAAAACCGCTCTAAGGCCAATCACGACCTTACGATTCTTTTTTCCTTTCACAAGGCATGTTAGAAAAATAGTCAATGTCGCGTGCTAATACTAATTGTAACGGTAACGAACTATTGTTAATTACTTTTATACAAAATCTAGACTATATATTGAGCTATTAACTTCGCTGTTGGCATTAAACTTTTTTTACACTATATTTATTGCGTGTATTTTGTGGTTTGCAAGAAATAATCTACATTATTATACATTGTACTCACTATCTGTCTTCTCATTGGCTAAGAGCCTACAGCTAATTTTGGAAATCAACGCAACCTACAGATAAGTTAGTTATCTGCAAGCAAATAACTGAGTAATCTGTAGGTTGCACCCACAATGCTTGATTTCCAAAAACAATTTTAATACAGGTTCCTTGCGACGGTGTGTTTGTCGTTATTTTCTTCAAAACAAAGTATAATAAAACAATTATTAGATTCGTTTTTTGTGATATCATAAATAATCAAAGTCTCGCTAAGTGTTATCAGCCTCGACCTTCGGCAAGGCTGATAACACTTAGTCGACCTTGATTATTCCGGATATCACAGAAACCTCATCCAATGATTGTTTAGAATACCCGAGGATAAAGTCCACATGTCGTTGATCACTTTTCAATAAGTGTGGGGTGTGGGAAACGAGCTATCCCGTGGAGCGCTGGGCCAGCTCCAGCCATGGGATCTGTTCCTGTCTCTGCAGCCCATCCACCGATTCTCAAGATTAGGATTTTCAACAGTGCTTGAACTATTTTCCACGAAGTACTAGCTTCTCTGGTTTAACGTTCTGAATGAAGGCGTTCAAGACATTACATAAAATTAAGCTACCATACTCATCACTGTAAGCTAGAGACCTCCGCTCCCCACCTCTTTACTAATTTTATCTTTGTGCCACATTTATAACCCAGAAAAAGAGTTATGAGACCCCCACTACGAAATTTCAATGACCTGTTCAGATTCAACTGTTCTCAACGTTTTGAAAAAAAAAAATCAATTAGGGCGCGCTTTTCGACTACGGCAAACTCAAAGCAAGGGGCACACATACCCACAGCCTGGCCAGTACCTTACGCATGCGCACAACCATATCCCCCGGGCGGAGGCAACCATGCTGATGAGCCCTAATAAGCCAGGGTAGCCTGTGCGTGAACAGGCTGTTCATAGCTGCCACCTCCAAGGTGATATGGCTGTGCGCATGCGTGAGGTACTGGCCAGGCGATGGTTTGGTCTATGTGTGGCCTTTATTATCTTTTCAATTAGCCTGCGTTGCAGGCGGCCCATGCGTGTATCGTTTGAAGCCATTGAAATAGTCCGGCCCGGTCTATGAAAGGCGGTGTAGGGTGTCTGCGACGTAAGCTATTTTCGACGGGCGCCAGCTTACAGTGCACCGATCGAAATCATGCAGCCAATTACAACCTACAGACGCGACCTTTTAAATCCGCTTAAGAAAGCCTGTGTTTCCTGAGAGGTCCGTCAGAGTGAATACGTAAACGTTAATTATATTTTTGACTTGGGGTGGCATGTCTTTTTGCAAACCGCGGCAATGGTAGCGAAGAAATATGCTGGTAGATGACAAAATACAAGCTTGTGTCAAGCAAATATGTCTCTTAGGTGTTGTACGTAATGTTTCGACTAGAAAAACACTGTCTGGTAAAACATTTTGCTTTCTTAAAAGACGTTTTCTATTGATATGTAAATTTTGTGCTTTGAGTAACTTATTGTTTTTTTTAACGAGCCTCTGATTGGCGGAGATAAATTTTTTAAGCAAGGGCTGGCTTACAAAAAAGGACCCGATCCTAATAAAGGATCCAAACAGCAATAAGTGAAAATATTAAACAAAAGAAGCAAGGCTGATTTTACAGTCGGAAATATATATATTTTTTACCGATGTTTTGGAAGGCATGGCCTTCTTTCTTCAGGGTGTTACTGACATACAGAGACAGCGGCTGGTAATCAAGCCTACTGATTGGCCCTCAACCAACTTTCTCGGAATGTATTGTCATTTCTATAATACGATTGGCCAAGTTTGTCTAAGTAGCCCCGGATACAGTGGTCGCACTGTAACTTCAAGAAGCATATAAATCAAAAGTGACCCTGAGCTAGCCTTTTTACAGGCTCTCAGATAGTAAGGGAGGTCGCAAAAGCAGGCCAAGCGGAAATTTTGCCTGTCATCTGACCTCTCTCTTCAAAGGAAGTCGATTCTTTACTGAGGCAAAACTGGGTGTAGATCTTCTTAGGTCGGTTGGTCCACTTTAAAGTCCAGAATGTAACTAGACAGACTTGCCTCTTATAGTAATTTTCAAGGAGTTTTAATAACTCATCTAGTGGGGCTAATTTAACTCCTTACAGTGGAGTTATTTTTTGGGGAGTTATTTTAACTCCAAAAAGGAGTATAAAAAACTCTTTTTCAGGGGTAAAAGTGACCCCAACTTTTGAGGAGTTAACATAACCCCAAAAAAGGAGTTATCCTGTACCTAACATTTTTACTCCACTTTCAGAGCTAAATTAACTCCAAAAAGAGTAAAAACAAGCCATGTAAGGAGTAAAAGTAACCCCATTTCGGAGTTATTTTAACTCCAGACTGGGAGTAAAAAGAACTCTTTTTCAGGAGTAGTGAATGACCCCAAATTCGGAGTTAAATTAGGAGTTAAAATAACCCCCAAAAAGGGGTTATCCTGTTCCCAAAATTTTCACTCCATTTTTTTTTTGAGTTATAATAACTCCCTAAAAATTACGGTGCTTTTGATTCAGTGAGATGTCAGATAACACAGAGGAGCTACCCCACCACACCCTCAAGATCTTGTGATGAGTTTTTCTATAAGTTAAAAAATGTAGAGCTTCAAAAAGTCTTACTGGGAAGTTTGACGAATCATTCCATAGGCGTTGGGGAAAATTAGATTCAGATTATCCAGTTTGATCTGATGACACAAAACGTAAACCTACGCTGGAATCTCGATATATATTAAATTGGGCGAAGCAGGGACAGGTAAAATATGCTCGTTATAACTGGGCTGAATAACAACTTGTATTAAAAGACCAAGGACCTCTCGTTGAACCTGCTTCGTATATACCTACAGCACAGAAGTTTTTTGGCATTCTGTGTTCGTGTCATGAGTGTTTTTTTATTAGTCTAAAACAATATCATTATATGCTCTTTTGTAAGAACATTGTTAAATATTGAAATTATAAATTCTTATCAAGTTTACTAGTAATATTAATTGACCAATTTTTTTTGTCATTTTTTGCTTTCTTTTTTTCCCTTGTTTCTTTTACAGTCTTTTTTTCTCTCTCTCTGTCTTTCTCACACCAATAAATTTGTTTTAACGTTTTAAACGATGTCAGTGTATCCATTCCAGTTAAAAGCTTGAGTTGTGCGAAAGAGTAAAAGAAGAAAAGCAAATGCAGTGGACAAAAAGATATATTTCTTTCTGTCACATAGCCATCAGAGCAGCTCAAGTTGGTTCTGAAATCTTCAAATTTGTTTCGTTCAATTCTTGCATTTGTCGTGCTTAATCTCACACAACAATAGTAGACTTGCATATCAGCCTTGTGAGCCTTCTCGAGGCCGGAAATGTCAATCTTGTCAAAACCCACACAAAAGAATCAATACGAATGTTTACTTTTCTAGCATTCCTGTCATTTCATTTTATGTCAAAGAGCCTCAAAGAGATCTCTACTCCGCGTCGGGTCGTAGGTTCAAACAAAGCATTCATACTGAGTTTGCGTTGGTTTCTGTAACGACGCTAAAACTCGTATCTTGATTGTTTAATTCGTTTTCTGTTGTAAATACTCTCAGATTGAGGTAAGTCTTTAATTCTTTTAATTCCAAGCTGATATAGGTACTTTCTATCAGTGCTTCTTGTAAGTGTTTAGAATTCATGTTCAATTTTGTTATGAATCGTAAGTTCTTCCAGTGTTACACGCCGTGTTGATTTCGATATACCAATGAAAGAGAATCACTGTTTTTACGGTTGCTAAACTAAAATCCATACTAAGGGGAATAACTTTTAATGGATCTTTCACTCGTTAAGAGCCGTATTAAACTATCTGGATCCAACAATACATCTACTAGAAAGTCTTGTTGTTGTTGCCGTCGATGTCTTTTTTTGTTTTCGGAAATACTCTGGATGTTTGCCCACTTCTGAAGATGCTCGAGTTCAATCTGTTAGTAATCTGTCATATCTGGAAACATTTTAGACCCATTTTAAGACAAAAAATATCGTTAATAGCTTTCCCCCTATATTTTCTTTCTGGCACACAATGTGTGCGATATTCTATTGCTTTCAGATTTGCATAAAAAGCTGTGCCAAAGCACCCGTTTCGTTCACCCGATTGAACGAGACACCAATACGTCACGCATGCCTTAAAACCACCACCGAACGGAGTAAGATGACCTCGGAGAGATATAATAGATCCTTATACTGATTTGACAAAGAGAAAACTGTTTGAGCACGCACTTGCTTGTAGGCTTAAGCAATTGAAGTGTGATCAACGTTTTCGAAAATCTATAAATGTGTGTCACTGAGGCATGCGCACTATTAACAGGGTGCCATGATCGAGAAAACTGGATTTTCTCCGCCTCCCCTCCAATACAAGGCGAGGTAGAAACTGTGGACATAATCGAGAAAAGATTTCCCCAGCACCTTAAAAAGCTTTTCAGTGTATGTTTCTCTCATTGACTGGACTCACTGCTGGACGACCAACCCGACTGGTTACAGGTGATTGACAGCTGCCTGTATAATAGATCCTGACCCAGTACCGACTGATAATCACGGCCCGGGAGGGGGGGTACTCAACAAAGTTTTATACGGGGAAGCTCCGCCCCGAGGTCCAACTCTTACCCTTTTGTGTACCATTTTGGACAGAAAAGTTATCCTTTTCTTATACCTTTAATTGATCAAATAGTACCCCTTTCAAACATTGTTAGAACTTTGCATCTCTTTTAACTGCTGTGAATGAAGTGTCTTTCAAGTATTGAGTAATTAAACGTCTTCTCCACTTTTCCAGAGTCATAGTGCATCTGTCAGCTTGGACTGTTTATAAACCGAAATGACAGATTTCCCTACCCTTTCATATATCTGAAATAAGCCCCAAAAAGGCACCCCTTTCGGGCGGAGCTTCCCCGTATAGGCCATTGTAGGGAGCACCCTCCCCGGGGATCAAGGTCTGGATGGCCGACAAACATTTTCTGTTTAAGGGTACAAAAATAATCAGTAAGCCGGTCATGCTTGTTGATTTACTGAATGACTGACGGACGGACTCTGGCTGATCATTTGATTTTATCCGACTGCCCATTGATGGATTTGTAACGTTAAAAAGATCAGGAGGAACTTTGACCAGAGCGATGAGCTTCGAACATGCTATTTGATCATGAGTTGCTGATACAACAAGACTTAATTTCCCTTTGTTTTTAGGTCAGCAGAGTTTAATATCATGAGGTCCTTTGCGTTATTCATTGTGGTGATGTGTAGCTTTCACTTAGGTATGTATGGATGCATTAAACCTGATGACTGTGAAAGATACTTTGATCTTTTTTTCATCCAAACTGTCACATTTCTACCACTTTTACGCAGGCGGTGATAAAGGTCTTCAGCATGAGCTGATCTGAGTTGGTGATGATTGTTGTATTGATTTAAATGGGCTACTGCATGGGTGCTACATGGGTTCGTACGGAGGAGGAGGGGGGTGCACTACTTGATGGCAGTTTTCTCAGTAGTTATGGGCTTATGGCTCGGGGTCGCTAAGCTACTGCTCCAAGCATCTGAATTGTCTAGTTAGGCAGAGAACTTTAGTCCATATAAGGAAAAAGCGCGAGAACTTCATACAAGTTGCCCCAAATACGTGGCGTTGATAACTCGTAACTTTAGCCAATTTCTTTCTTAATTTTTTAAAGACAATTTTAACTAGCCGCGGGAAATTTAAAGTTAACTCCGATTTAGCCCTGTGTAAACAGAAAAACCGTAAAACAAATGCATATCAGTTTGTGTTCTCGTCGTCTTGTTGATAGTAAATTATGTAGTCATCTCACCTTAAGAAGGAGACTAAGCGTCCGTCTTAGATAGGTGTGTCCCCGCTCAACAGAGATCAGAATCAAAGAAAATGAGAGATCAGTTCATATAAACTGCAGCGCGGACCAATCAGTCTAGGAGTTTTTCTTCAAAGAGGAGTTGCTTTCTTATAGTTTATGTCGCACCGTAACTCCAGGTACAGGATAACCCCTTTTTGGGGGTTATTTTAACTCCTAATTTAACTCCGAATTTGGGGTCATTTTTACTCCTGAAAAAGAGTTCTTTTTTCTCCCAGTCTGGAGTTAAAATAATTCCGAAATGGGGTTATTTTTACTCCTTACAAGGGTTGTTTTTTTACTCTTGTTGGAGTTTATTTAACTCTGAAAGTGGAGTACAAATTTTAGGTACGGGATAACTCCTTTTTAGGGGTTATTTTAACTCCTCAATATCTGGGGTCACTTTTACTCCTGAAAAATAGTTCTTGAAACTCCTTTTAGGAGTTAAAAAAACTCCACAAAAAATAACTCCACTGTAAGGAGTTAAATTAGCCCCACAAGAGGAGTTATTATAATTCCTTGAAAATTACTGTGCGTACGAAAGGCAGAGATGACTGTAATTTGCTTTGATCTTTATCACAGAGTGTTCCACAAAAGATCTTCCTAGTGTTTACGTCCGGGTGTCATGGAAAATGGTATGGCGAAGGTTCTGCCACTTTGTTCCGTTCTTTGCCGAAAAACTTTCGGAAAAACTTTATGACGCAAAGGCAAACGTGGTCAAAGCCAGCAGAATTCGCTTCATAAATGCTACGGAACTGTGCAAGGGAAAAGGCAACAATGATGAAGCGATTTTGGTTTTCTTCGTCTCGAAAAGTGAAAATGACCTTGGTACTGGAGATGTTGACAGAAATATCACGATTCTTGCTTATATGAAAATGCGTGATTACTGGAAAAACAAAAAGATGGCTCTTTTGGATCCAGTCTTCATCGGACAGGTAACGTCAAATTTGCTTGCAATCACACTTTCAGCAGCCCATACGGACTCATCTTTAGAACTGCCTTGTACGGAATCGCAAAAAAAAAAAAGAGAGAAAAGAAAAAAAATCGTCCTAAGGAAGCACTATTCGGCTGCATTCACACTGACTTTGGTTATTCCACATATCATTTCGACAGGTAAAAAGTGTTGAGATCTTGGGAAAAGACAAGCCAGACATCTCAGAGGATTTTTCAGAATCAACAAGAATAGGAATTGGCATAACCGTCGCTCTGATAGTCATCTTCTTAATCGCCGCTATCGCATTATGTCTGGTAAGAATCCCTCTAATGGACAAAGTTTAGCAATGTTCACTTATTTCAGTTATCGCAAACAAATTTCTGCGCGAAGAACTGAATATTATTAGACCAACAACAATTCGCCTCATGAAAGGGTATCCGGATTCTGCAATCCGGGAAATTTTTGCTCAATTATGGAATACGAAATCTAACGAATTTTTGCTGTGGCATCCGTAATCCTGGACTTTGAAGTCCTGAGTCCCACTAACGACTAGAATCCGGAATCCAAATTCCATTGATAAATCATCCTGAATCCAGATTCCACGGCGTGCAATCTAGAATCCAAGAAACAATACGTAAAACAGGTGTTTCTTTTCCGATGTAGCAGAAGACCAGCCTTAATACACTGAAGAAAGACATAACGAGCCTTAGAGTTTCTTGAGGCTTCATTAGTTGGGAAGCCATATTTTTAGGGTGAGAGATTGCTCACTAATAACTAAAGATGCGAAGGGAAATTGGAGCGAGTCAGAAAGAAGGTGACATCAGTAAAGAGGAGAAGTCGTTACGTCACGTTGCCATAGTAGCAAAGTTTCTGGATGACACTGTCAAACCGAAAACGGGTCTTAAAAGTACATTCGCACTGTTTCAAAGTTCGTCGATCTTATTCAATTTCATTTAATGTGTCAAATAGTGGCAAAATTTGGGGTTGAATCCGAAAGGACTGTATCTAAGTTCAGAAAAAGAAAAAGAACATTTTGTGTTGTGTTCACGTACTCCATAAAGCGGGCGCTTGAAATAAGAACGTTTCATGTCGCTGTCATTCAGCGACGCCGGGCTAAGAAATGTACAAAATAGCGTGATGCTCGTGCGAGGTTGTTGTTTTGCCAAATTAAGCCCATTGCTTTCTACGCCGTTCTCGTTGCCGTCGCCGTCGTTGTAGCGCTAGCTCCCTCTTGTTGTGATCCAAACATTTTGCCACCATGGTAACGTAACGTCACTCTTCTCCTCTCTGTAGGGTTGTTGGCATGAGGCGAAAGAAGGCTCATTATTAACCTCGTTCGTTCTCAGGTTCTCTTAAGAAGAGACACTCCTGGGAGCGAGGTAGCCCCATTCCTGGCCTCATATGACTCGTGCACTCACATAGCCCCATTTAACTAACTTCTGTAGCTATCATACAATTGCATCAATCTTACTGCGCAATATCGACAATTTCAGAGGCTTAAACTAAAGAGCTCCAAGAGACCTCTCCAAGATGCTACTACGGCAATGAGCGTCCCACTTCATGTTATCCACTCTGAATCATCTACCTCACCCCAAAAAACGGAAGCGCCACCGGTTTATGAATTCAGAGGACGCGCACGGGACGAGAGGGACGGGAGATCAAGCAATAGTAGTTATACTGTCCGTACTTCCCATGGTAATACTGCAATCGACGATGAGTACCAGAGAAGGGAGAAAAGGTATAACAGTCATAGTGTCCGTAACCATAGCAACACAACGTTCGAAGAAGAGCATGGAGTAGGCCAAGAAAGCTTCAACGGTTATCCTGCTGGCAGTAATGGTAGCGTGGTTCTCGACTACGAAGATTTTGTAAGTGAAGTCATCTTATTATCAGCTTTATTAAACCAGGCTACTGCAGGGTCGTTCGCTTCAGGCATGCAGTTTCAGCAACTACGGATGATAGTGCTAAGCTGTTTAAGTGTTGTATTTTACAACTGCTTTGGAAATGCAACTCGACTTGGAATATGCAACTCCTACCTTTCTTTGGTCAGAGCACTTATAGTGTTAGTCATTTGAGTTCAATGTTGATATTGTTTTTAATACAGTCTTTAATTTATTAGCTTGTCTGTGAAAGTTTAAGTGGCAGGGGAGATCGGTGGCTTAAATTGAGGAAGGAGTCCTTAACAGATTACTCTAACTTCTAAGCGGGGCTAAATTGAAGGCGTGGATGTGAGGGGGCATTTGACCTAGTCATACAGAAGAACTATTCAACTGAAAAAGGCTAAGTGACGGGTGAGAAGAAAAACTGCCGACCAATCCCTGCTGAAAAAAAACAGAGACTGGTTGCTCCATGGACCGACTGGAGCCAGAGAAAATTTCACTCATTGATTTACCTTAAGGCCAACGGGACTGCAGATTGTACACTCAGTTTACTCTCAAAGGTTCAGTTATCTTACGCGCTGGTGATAGAACATACTGTAATATCAGATGTTTTCTTTATTTGTTATTTCCAGGGATCACCCATGCTGTAGAGGAGGATTTTGATCAGTTAAGTGACGATGCCCGCGGGTTTTTTAAAAGTCTAACAAAGCCGATATGCCGAACAGCCATACCGGCATACCTTAACAGAACAGCTGCACTTATGCATGGTATGGAAGCGGACAGCTTCATGGTGGAAAAAGACATTACTAATATAGATTAAAATGACCCTATCTGGTTTACAGATACTATCTTAAAATATATATGTCATTTGCTTTGGCCTCCTTGAGCAAAGCTTGCGTTTTCTTGTTCAGTTGTAGCTCAAAACTATGATGAAGGGAGTCAACCAGGAGAAGAAGCGGCAATCCTCTTTTTTGTTTGTTTGTCAGTGTTTAATTGTTTTCTTTTCTAAAATTGCATTGACTGTTTTCCAATTGCCCATAATACACTCTGTTTGCCCCCCAAATTTTGCATAACTTATTGTCTTAAAATGCCCTTGGGAAAATGAAATACTCCCAGGAGCATTTAGAAACAATGGTTTATGCAGAATTTGGGGGGCAAACAGAGTGTATTATGGGCAATTGGAAAATAGAGAATAGATCACAACAAAAATCGAAGAACCTCTACTCACAGGGTTAAAAGATCCTTAGCTCGGCTACGACCAGGCTTACTTGTGCGAGTTATACTAGGGGATTTTTTTTGGCGTCGGAACTGCCATCCCGCGAGGGGAAAAAGACCTTAAATGGGAGTTGGTTATTATTGATGTGGATGATAATTTTTTAACTTTTTTTTCATTCTAAGGGTGGTAGCAAAACAAAGCGCTCTTGGATTAAAAATATCCACTGGATATAAATCCTCTTAATTGCGGGATGGTTAGAATCCTTGCTGTATCATATGTAAACCTTTTTTAATTGTTTCTATTATTATCATACCATCTATATTATTATTTTGGCAATGAAATCTTCATGTTGAAGGTAAAGTCAATAAGTCTTACGTACGTTATTGATCACATGTTTTCAGTGTCACGTGATCTTTTATTATCTACATAATTTCGACGACTGACTATCAAAGAGTTAAGCCTAGAGTCATCGGTTGAATATAACGAAGTTATATTTCTTTTGCTGGAAAGATCATCTTATTACAAAGATAAACTTGTTTTCAAGGGCCTTTGCAAAAGAGGCCGGATAAATTATAATGTAAAACTTTATTTATGAAAAGATCCAATCTTCAGTTTAGATTGCGTGTCATCAGACAGACATTCATCGTTTGCTAACCACAAAGCCAACATAGCAAGTAAAGAAAGCAGCTCCTTTTCAAGGACCCTTTTACTAAGGTTTTTGAAACATGTCATGACAGTAGAAAGCGTATAGCCCTGAACTAGGGTTGATCTTTTTCCTTCTCGTCATATACGTAGCGTTGGTTAAGTTTTTTCTGATACTGCATGTAATTACCTCTTCCGTGATTTAACCATTGACTGTCCATGAGTAGGTAATGCGATATATTTATTTTCAATACTCAACGTTTCAGAACGTCTCACTGATTGAGCGTCTGGTCACCATTAAAATCTTGAAGCAAAACCACTATTTAGAGTTCTTGAAGTTGCGTGGAAGTCAGATACGGGCTGTTTCCATACTTAAATATTTGCGTTCCGTAGTCAAGGTCGTCAAGTTTATTAAAAATCGGAAGTGATCATTAAAACTATGTGTGGGGTAGGACAAAATGAAAAAGCAGAATTCACCCCGCGTACGAGCTCTAAAGCGAGTCGTGCAGTCAGTGGTACTTTTTCTCCATGGTATTTGTGGTAAATTGGTGTGCTATTGGAAACCCGACTTTTCTAGCCTGTTTTTGCATTAAGGGATCTACGGGTTTTCTTTGACTTGTTTTTAAACCAATGACCCGTTGCAACCCGATAGGTTCGCATGTACCCTAATACTCCTACCCAACATTCCCAAACTTTTACGTAAGTCGACAAAAGTCAAGCCTAAGAATCTCGAATCGCCTTCATAACACGTTTTAGCCAGAAGACACAAAGGACTTCGCAGGCTGAAGCGAGATTTTAAACTACGAAGACAAAGCCGCGAAACAGTCACAAAAGCTCTTATCCTGGGAGAGAACACCTTAATCAGTAGCAATACAGAGTAGTTAACGCTGAGGAATCAAGGTAATGGAATGCGTGACCTCCAGTAGAGGACTGTATAAACTGAAAGATCCAGTGACCTTTCTTAATACTCTGTTGTTTGTTTGTTTCTTTTTCTCTTTTTTTTTATCCAGCCGGTCCAAAATTAACCTTTAGACAGCTACGATACCTGCGGTCTCTACGGATCTAAGTATTGTTTGCGTTCGTAGTCATGGGTTGAACAGGAAGTTGGTGAGAAGGCAAACAAGATTCAATATGCTAGCATATTTTAAAATTTCTTTAATGTAGCTGAAAATGCTAATGACCCGGGCCGGCCCTGCAAGCCGATATCAAGAGCAGCAATGATTGTCAAAGATTGCGCGGAGCACGCTTTGATGTACGACTGATTAAAATTTCTTGAATCTGATATATTGATAATCAAAACAAAATGATAAAGTCGATAAATACCAGTATCTTAAAGTTGTTTTACTGATATCAATTAAGATTCCTAGCCTCTCAACTCGCCAGCCTATGATCTTGATGCTCATTCATTTGTATGTTCCATTTCAGTGAAGTGGATGTCACTTTCCCTTCTCAGCAGACCTACTGACCACGATTTACATAGATCCGCTGCATTGCTATTGAGCCATATTTATTTACAAAAGGATCACCATGCTAGTTTTGATAGACAAAACGTTCAACTTAGACTAGTAGTCTTCGCTGTCCACAAGTTAGACCGGGTCTGCCAAATTGGTACGCATGATCATGAGAAGGGAAAACTTTAGGGCGTAGCCCCCTAAGAGAGAATAATAGGATGCCTAAACAACGACGACGGCGACGGTAACGAGGACGGCAAAAAAAGCAACAGGTGTATATTAGCAGAACAACAACTTTGCACAACGTGCATCACGCTTTTTGGTACATTTCTTAGGCGCCGTTGCACGACTACAACGTGACAGTGCCTAATTTCACGTTTAGTCGAGGACGGGCGGAACAAAAGACAACATTTTTTTTTTCTTTTTTTACTCTTTGCTGATACAGTCCTTTAGAATTCAACTCCAAAAACATTTGCCAACATTTGACGAATTAAGCGAGATGGAATAAGCGCGATAAAGTTTGACGCAGCGCGAATACGCGTTTTGAGTGACCTTTTCGTAGCCGTCGCCGTCGTTGATGCTTTTTAAGGGACAGATGATTAGAAAACTTGTGGGGGGTAGGGGCGGGGGGCGAAGTAGCAAAAAAAACATTCGCGCAAGGGAAAATTAAATGAAAAAAAATTCATGCACGCCAATTAATCCTAAAAAATATTCATGCTATGGCCTAAAAAAATGCATACAAGGAATTTGCTAACGAAAAAAATTCCTGCGGCTCGAAAATTCCCCTCCCCCCATAACCTTTCTGATGGCCGGTCCCTAAAGCTCCCTAATAAGTCAAAAGCACCGGAGAAGCGTTATCTTTTTGGGGATGGTTGGGGAAGAGAAGCCTTGGTAAAGTCGCGTTTAAAACATTCCGAAAAAGTCAAGTATTTTCAACATTCGACCTTTCTTTTTCTTTGAGGGTTTTTATGCTCAGCGGGGAACCCAGTTTTCCTTTCCGTGTCCGTGACCCGTGACCGGTGACCCGTTGCGTTACGCATAGCAGCCAAGCTCAAGACTAAGTGCATCATTTCCGCTACTTGATTATACCCGAGTACAAAGCTAACAAGGGATGAATTCCTTTCTTGATTAAAACGAGACACGCACCAAATAAGGGCTCCGGGTAGTGTACAATCTGCGTTGAAGTTTGAGACAAACTGCTGTGCATTGCGTTTCAAGACTGTTCATTTGACACCAGTCTTACTGTGTTACCTGTTACGTTTCCGCAGGACTGACGTTTCCGCGTGGCGATAGAGAAGATCTATCTGGCACAAGGGGAGTACAGTATTGCGTTCGCGTGATCTGCGTTTCTAAGTTCGTCGTGATTACATGTGGGCGACGTTTTCTCGCGGTTGGCTCATTTTATAAAAGGTAAGGACAAGTAACAAATCTTTATCAGACTTTTACTTTGATGTCGCTATTTGCAACACGCCAATGCGGCTGAAAAATGGTGCAAGACATCTCATCTTGCGTCAACCGCTACCGCCGCATAAACGAAGCATTGTGCCGACATTCTTGCTTTGCGGCTTTCAAACGCCTTGGTTTTTGTACTTTTGTATGCAGAGAAATGACTGGGTCAATCCAAGTCCTTTAAATATTCCGTACTTCATCTTCTCGGTACACTCGCTTCAGCTCACATTGAGCTGACCAAACAAGCAATTTAATTGCATGCTAACTACTGATTCTTGTACGTTTATTTGCTGAAATCAAACTGGTTTGATTTATGCGTGACCGATTGCCCTTTCAAGGTTTATATTATTTTCAAGAGAAAAGAGCAAACCCCCGGAAAGCGAAATTGTGGAGGTATATATTTCGGGCTGCTCCAGTTAATTTTTGTTGTGTCCTAGTTCGGTATTTATTTAACTTGACCCGTCGCACATGATAAAGCGAAATGTTTATCATGTTTAGATGATGACACTTTGAGCCGTCTGCGCGAGGGTGGTAATTTTCAAACTGGTGACCGCCTGTGATATTCTTAATCTTGGACAGAATAAAGTGGAAGAGCAAATCTCCCATCCTTCCGAAATCAAGGATGAAGCCGCGCGAAGGCCAAAACGCACCATTTTATTTGGGGGAAGGGGGTTTAATTTTTTTCATATACCGTAGTGTTCCGAAAATATAAGCCCCCCAAACTCGTAACGCAAAAAACCGTCCGGTAAATCGCCCCTCCAAATACAAGCCCCCGGGGGCTTGTACTCGGAAATTGTCCTTAAATTTAAAATAAAACAAAGCAAAAACTGTACAGTACACATAAATTGTTGCATTTGACAAAGAACTTTTACGCGTGCTAAATGATTGTAGTCAAAGTGTCACAGTAACCTTGCCGTTTGCGGAACACACTCTTCAGTCTTGGCTTGAATTTCCTCACTCCATATAGACAAAGTACTTGCATGGCTGAGGTTTAGAAAGATCTACGTCCTCTAGGCGAGTTTCAGTAAAAACGTGCAACAAATTACTGACATAACTTTCCTTCCAACTATAAGCTAGCCCCGATTGATTTTGAGACTCATATTTCCCTCCTAGTGTAAGCCTAGTAGCCGATTTTAAAACGAAAATTTCCGATTATAAGCACCTCCAAAAATAGGCCCCTCAAAAAGGGCTTTGAAAAATATAAGCGCCGGGGCTTGTTTTCGATGAAAATTTGGATTCGATGAAAATGCTCGCTGTATTGCTTATTGATTAGGGATGAAGTGCACATTTTGGTCTCATATGGGGTGTTTTAAGGACGGATAGCTTATATTTTTACAAAAATTTTAAAAATTCATACTGCGTTGAGGGTAGCATTCGATGACAACATTTTTTAGCGCAAGCTTCCCTAAGAAACGTTTGTTGGGGAGGGACGTTGCGTGACGAGACAAAAACGGCTGCGGAGCCTATTCTTTAGGGGTCACATAGGGCCTGATTGTTCTCGTCGAGGAGTTTTGATCTCTTATGACGGGCTACATCTTCCTCCCCTTCATTTAGGAGGCCCCCTTCTTTCCCCCGCGAGGGATGCATTCCCGCATCTGGCTTTTGGTAACGTAGAAAAGCAATTTAAAGCCTAAATATGGTTATTTACTGTGATGGTACTGATCGTTTTGGTTTGAAATTTCTAAACGATTAAAAAATAATACTGCGTCAGTTTCTTTACGGAGCTATGACAGAATGGAACCACACTGTCCAATCCAGATATTAGCTGAGAGTTACTGAAAGATTTTGTTCTTATCTTGGCAACGGTCTTTATGCTGGTTTATTTGAGCTGTTTACATTCTTACGTACCGTCAACTATTTACGCACTAGCTAACTTACTTATTTCTTCTTGATACCAAAGTATTCGTTTAGAGATAGGAGTTGATTATGAGTTAACGACCGAAAAACAAAACTGAAGATAAAAATAAGCCGGTGGGCAGACTATCGCGTAGCGAAACAGAAAGTACTAAGCGATTCTAAAAAAGTATTTAAACACTTAACATTTTAAATATGGCAACTAGGAATTTGAAATAGACCAGGAATTTAAGACTTCTATTAATTTGATTATCTCTTATCCCCTGCTTCCAGTCTACTCTTTCCTTAGTTCATGAAAAAAAAATCCCTGCACATTCCCATGATGATCACCAAACAACTCTCTCACTAGGCCTGCTTTACAACCGATAAATAGGCCAGTTTCAAATTATCAAAATTCATTATTACTTGGCTCCAAGGCTGAGGAGAGTAAAGCAAAGCAAATTAATTAATTATCTCTGAATCTTAACGTCATTCTTTTGAAGCCAAGGATGAATTTTTATAGAGTCGAACTTCACGTTAGCGACCACACAAATTCGTAGACTTTAGTGGTTGCTTATACGGGAGGTGGTCGATTATCAGAATCGAACCACAGGGGGTCTCTTCCGACAAGATTGTCTCGTCATGTCTACTTTTTGAAAGATGATATTTTGTATGCAATTCCTAAGTCACAATATGTGTAGTTGCATGTTGTCAGTGAAAGGTCTTTGTATCGTTACAAGTGTACAAGTGACGTACGAGTGAAGTAGCACATACATCGAACTCAGAGATCAGATCAGGCGTCAAGTGGTCGCTTACAAGAGCTTAAAAACTGTGAGGGGTGGCGAATGGTAAAATCGAACTCAGACGCCGAGATCCTAGATCAGGCGTCAGACTCAAAAAAGTAAAAGCAAACCATGAAAAAACGAGACTTCGAGACTTATCAAAAACGCTTCCGAGATTTCGAGATCCTGTCAAAATATTCCGAGAACCCACGTTTTTCGAGGTACCATTCGCCACCCCTAACTGTGGAAAACTATAAAATTGTTAGCACAAAAAGTGGTCACGGTCGCTTACGAAAAGTGATCGTTTACGAGAAATAAAGATTAAAGGACTTTGACTGGGAAAACTTTGGTGTTTTGGATTGGTATGTCGTCGCTTACGAGGAGATAGTCGCACATGGAGGTCCATCCACTGCTCATTGTCACCGGTTTTACTTCCGAATGAATCCTCCCTATACCGGCGTAAGGGACGGACCATTAGAAAAGTTATGGAGGGAAGGGGAATTTTCGAGCCGCAGAAATTTTTTTCGTCATCAAATTCCTTGCATGAATTTTTTTTAGGCCATAGCATGAATATTTTTAGGATTAATTGGCGTGCATGAATTTTTTTTTCATTTAATTTTCCCTTGCGCGAATATTTTTTTTTGTACTTCCCCCGCCCCCTTCCCCCCATAAGTTTTCTAATGGTCCGTCCCTAAAGTACGCCATTTTATTTTAGTTTATTTATTTTTTGTTAATAATTTATTTATTAAACATCATTTTATATACAGGGCGGCAAATAAAAAGGAGGCGAAACAGTAAAAAAATAAACAAACAAGCAAGCAAAAAAAAATGCGAAACACGAAAGTTCAACAGATTAACAACAACTAGCAGAACAAGTGGAAAAAATAACAATATTGCGCTTTTGCTAAATTACTATAAATCAACACTAATCAGAAATGCACAGGGTGGTCCACTTATTTCTGTATTTTTTAAGATTTTTTTTGTATTTGTTAAGAATGCATTTTATGCTGTTTTGTGTCTTGGCTGTTCGCACTATAAAGGATCGATGTCAGTGGTTGTCGATCCAGCATAGTGTGAATATTACCTCAGTATTTATTTACGCTGTTATGTTTCAGATTTGTCTGTAGTGAACGTCAGGTTACTAGAACTGATGGTCATCATGAATAGTGGGAAGCGAAATCGAGTTAGTTGCATGGCTTTGGCCTTACAAATGTTCATCATGCTAAAAGGAGGTATGCAGAACTTTCTACCGTCAATTACAACGAATCCTATATGCTTGACTTTATTATTCCCAAGGATCTCCAGAATCCTGGTTAGAGTCTAATGATTAATTACAGCTGGTACAAAGTGGCAAAAATAAATGTGTACTGAATACATTTTCAGTTTACATTCTATGTTTGTTTGTTTTTTAGTGGAAAGTCAAGGAAGTACTTCTTCTTCTTCAGTATCATACGCAAGTGTTACTGGACATGCATCTTCTGCACCCCAGCTTCCGTCAGTTTCTGCAGCTGTTACAACATCAAGCAAACCCCTATTGTCATCAACCCTAACAACAACCGCAGCTACGACGGGGATTACCCCGCTGCCGTCAGTAACACTCTCATCTTCATCAGCGGAAAGACAAGTAACTACTTCTTACGCAAGTGTTACTGGACATGCATCTTCTGCACCCCAGCTTCCGTCAGTTTCTGCAGCTGTTACATCATCAAGCAAACCCCTATTGTCATCACCCCTAACAACAACCGCAGCTACGACGGGGATTACCTCGCTGCCGTCAGTAACACTCTTATCTTCATCAGCGGAAAGTCAAGTAACTACTTCTTACGCAAGTGCTACTGGACATGCATCTTCTGCACCCCAGCTTCCGTCAGTTTCTGTAGCTGTTACAACATCAAGCAAATCCCTATTGTCATCAACCTTAACAACAACCGCAGCTACGCCGGGGATTACCTCGCCGCCGTCAGTAACACTCTTATCTTCATCAGCGGAAAGTCAAGTAACTACTTCTTACGCAAGTGTTATTGGACATGCATCTTCTGCAGCCCAGCTTCCGTCAGTTTCTGCAGCTGTTACAACATCAACCAAACCTTCTTCGGTGTTTTTGCTGTCGCCGTCAAAAAGACCCCTATTTTCATCAACCCTAGCAACAACAACAGCTACACCGGGGATTACCTCGTCGCCGTCAGTAACACTGTCATCTTCATCAATTCCTCAAACTCCAGAATTAACCAAATCTTCTCCCGGAATTTCACCTTCGTCAGTTTCAAGTGACGTCAAGCCCACGGATTCTACGACTTCACTGACGGACACAACACCACGCCCATCACCAACAAGCGCGCTTCTTTCTTCACCAAATGTCTCCTCTACACCTCTGCCCCAGAAGCCACAAAAACCAAGAATCTATATAAAAATTTTTTTTTCCATGCCATGGGGACGATTCTGTTACTTAACATCTCTCTTCAAGGAATCGCTCTCTCGCAATCTGTTAGAATTTGACGGAGTTACATGGCAGTACGTGCCACTTGAAAGAATAAGGCTGTATAACGCGAAAGAGAAGTGCGCCAATAAAACCCTATACTATAACAAAGACGCGATACTGGAACTATTTATCGCTAGAATGGGAGAGGAAAATGATGCTGACTGGAACAAGACTACTGAGGCCTTTGAACTTCTGTACGACTATTGGACAAACAAAAGAATGATACTGCTCGATCCAGTGTTTGAAGGCAAAGTAAGTACATCCGATAAAGCTTTGTGATAGACCTAAGGTTCTCCGCAGTTGCATTCAATGCTTCAGTCACTGATGGAATTTGTTGCATGTGCAGGTAATTATGTACACATGGCCAAAAATCGCGGACGTGGCGCCCGCGTTACGACAGCGGCGATCTTATACCACTCAATATTACCGAAACAAAAACATGGCGATAGTGTTCGAAGCGAAAATTATATTTGAACCTAGAAAAGTTTACCACTTACCAGCATAATCGTCTTCGGGGCGGAATCCATAAGTAGAAACCATTCGCTTATTCCACTGTTTAAATATTCTGTTCACACCAGACCTTGAACATTGTCCTTATTTGAGATGATAACTCTCCTCTTGCTATCACCTTGTATTTTAGGCGGTAAATTCCTTAGGCCTTAGCTGGCCGCGTTTCTGTCCGATTGATTATTTAATTCTGCCAGGTTCATTTCCTTAAGTCAATATCGTATCCCACAAACACAGTTTGCTAGCTTGGTTCTGGCGAAAATTGAAACGATTGACAGCGTCCATTTGGCAATGAAAATTGTCCAATTACAAGGTCATCATTGCCATGGCAAAATGACCGAAGACTTCCAACTAAATATCTTTACGATAATTAACTCAATTCAAGTGAAATTCGTCCCCATTTGCTACCCTTTCTTCACCTTTTCGGTAAGAAAATTAATTTTGATCAGTGGCTTTAATAAAGAGGTAAATACGTTGTGTTTTACAGCTCCATTTATCCTCCTGGGCCCAGTTGTTCGGAGGCCGATTAGCGCTTAACCTGGGGTTAAATTTAACCCTGCTTTCTCTTTCTTGTGCTCAAAAGCATTTTCTTGAATAATTTTCTCTGATATTTTTAGAGCTTCCAATCATCAACCTGTAGACAAAAAGAATTAAAACCTTAAACGCTTTTTAAGCTTTCAAATCTGAATTCAAATCTCGCACTAACCCTGGGTTATCTTAACCCGGCTTTGAACAACTCGGCCCTGAACTAGAGACCCACTGACCCAAAAGCCAGAAGACTCTGTGTAGGAGATTGAGACCCACCCGGTACCAGTTAAAGGGGATACTATGCTGCACGAATGTTTCCCAGTGGAAAATATCCACAATTTCTGACCATAGTACGAGGAAGTTAGGCGGCGCTCAAGATTTCCATTATAATATCTTTCCTTTTGGTTGAGAAAAATACTTTTGATTGGCGGCTGTCAGTTGGTGGTAAGTACGTTGTGTTTCACAGCTCCATTTATCCTTCTGATCTAGAGACCCAACCTAGTAGCAGTTAAAGGGGTAGTATGCTGCACGAATGTTTCCCAGCGGAAAAGGCCCGCAATTTCTGGCCATAGAAAGTTAGGCGCCCAAGTTTTCCATTATATCGCCCCTTTTCTAACAACGTGATTTCTTGTTCTATTTCAAGGTTACAAAAGTGGTTCTTGTAAGAGACGATGAAGACAAATACATTCCCGAGTACACAGAAGCCCAACGTATCGGTATCGCCATAGGGGTCGCTCTGGCCATTCTTGTAGTCGTCCTCATCGTCATATATTTTGTGGTAAGTTGTTATCCCCGTTACTCAGCTAGAATTTATACGTTTACTTGCGATTTCTCTGAACAACAACAAAAAAAATTTAATCCCGCTTTTTTTAGTATTTGTAAAAGTGAAACGTATAATTGCGAAGTCTGCTTTCAGGGCCGGAAATATCACTAGTTTCCGCTTAAGAGTTGTACATGTCCATTAAATACAGGCTTGGTTTACAGAGAATAAGTGAGACTTATTAATGCTCGTGTCTCCTTAATGCACGTCTAGAAATCATACTATTCTGAAAAAGTGGCACCGTAAACGTAAATGTAAACCTCGGACGCAGTAGCAAATCAACGCCCACACCGTGGTTCAGGGAAAAGGGCTGATTACTTCCCCCAGTTTTTCCTGCTTAGGTAACATTTTGGGGAAATTTAAGGTCTGTGATGAGCCCTAAAAATATATATATATAAATATCATGGGACATGGCTTGGCTGCATTGGTTGCGGCCGACCCTTCAGATGCCGTCCAGTATCGCCGCCCTCTTGGGTTTACGAAAAGTTCAAATCTATTTGAACAATGTTGAAACTTGACATTCTGTTACTTTAGGTCTGATGATTATTTGTGCTAATTGAGAGTCTGCTGCTTTTGGTACTATTTTGTATTTTTTTGCATAAGAAGTGCTATATTCACAAAGTATCTATGACGTAATATTTCTTTGCCATAGCAACCGACCGTCAGTTATTTTTTCCAAAATGTGTTTTAGCTGAGAAATAAGTAAACAAGCAGGCAAAGACACAGAGAAAGTTCTGGAAAAACAAAACAAAACAAAACAAAAAAGTGAATCCAAGAACAAAACTTTCAGGGCTTCATTGGGGAAATTGCGCCTCCCCCTCGTTTTTGTTTTTGCAAAGAACAAAATATATGATTAGGACAAGAGCCATGGCTCTTGGATTAGAATGATCATCTTTGTATTGGTTTTTGTTGTCGTTGTTGGTAACAGAAAAGATACATGACCACTCACCAAGCTCGTCCAAAACCACTTGATGGGAAGATGGTAATAACCAATGAGCATGCTTTTGAAGAAACCACTGCAAGTGACTTGACGAATACCGCCAGTAAACCGTTAGAAACACAAGAAGAGATGAGCGAGGTACCAGAACAGGTGGTAGTACACAAACAGCCTTCTCCCATCCAGACCAAAAAATCACAAGTTGATGTAAAAGTGGAGGATAAAACGCCGCTTCTTTCAGAGATTAAGGATTATGAAGACGGGAAATCGGGTGGTGAAAGTAAGTCTGCCGTCGAACAGATTTTCTTAGAAATATCTGTTTTTTGTGTTTGCTAGTGCTGCGCTTTTGCAATGAAGGCGCAGCATGGCCTAGTGCTCCCCTGCTTTTCGCTCTGGGGGCGGCATGCCCGAGTAACCGGCGTGTCAATCTGGTAATCCGGATTTCCTGGGTTTGAATACTGCTTTGACCACTAACTGGAAATGTTTCTCGACAGTCGCGAGTTCAACTCCTCGGTCATGGTTGAAAAAAGCCAGCCGGTTGCCTCCTGCAAGCTGGGGTTTTAAATCATACAGCTATTTCGAGAAAGGTTGTCGAAAGAAATGTACACGCGTCAATCCCGAAAGATAATATGGGATATGATCAATACATTGTTCTTGACGACTGTAGCTGTCGAACATACTGTTGTTTCTTTCCTTTAGCACTCGCAAACATATGTCCGTGGCCCCCCGTGCCATTTTTTCAAATTTCTTTGAAGAACAGAGCACTCAAAACCACCCACAATACCTTTAGGGATTGTCGCGTGCACTTTTTCCGACAATAGATGATGATGATGATTAGGGAAAATAACATATACAGCTATTTCGAAATAGCTGTATATGTTATTTTCCCTAATCATCATCATCATCATCATCACCAACAACATCAACATCATGATCATCATCATCGTGATTTTGCCTATTATTATTATCATCATCATTATTATTTGTAGTATTATCAGTATTTAACAATTATTGAATTCGGCTTTCGTATCATATGAAGAATTATGGAGATCTCGGAGGGTGTTATCCGCCTCGGCCTATACGGCCTCGACGGATAACACCCTCCGAGATCTCCATAATTCATCATATGATACGAAAGCCGAATTCAATAATTGTTTTATTATTCATTTAAAATAATTCCTACTTTAAAAACATGGCTAACGTGCTAACCTCCATCGATCCATCGATGTTAAGTTCATCTTCGATAGCGCACGTTTACGTTTGTCCAGCTCCGCAAATATTCTCCAAATAGCAAATGTCGCCCTTCGAGTTGTCTTCTTGTTGTTCTTGCCATGTTTTTAGCTATGTTTTCGCCTAGTTCTTACTCTTGAAACGAGTGAAATGTCCACCATTTTTCAAGTTCACAATCAAAACAACTCAACCTCGTCCCCATGTCTTCTCGGTTAACGGTGCCTTAACCTGCGAAAACGCTCCATTTTTGACGTCATTTCCTCGTTAAACACAAAATTCTTCCAAATTTGGTCATCAGTAACTGGTTATGGTGAATTAAACGAGTGCTTTTAGCCAATCAGTATCGGGAAAATATTTTGAATGAATAATAACATTATTTGAGTGGAGTGCCTTTAATTTATAAACTAAATAAAATGGCACTTTCACTATGTATAACACAAAGATTTGCCATTACCCAAACCCACTCAAGACCGAATCCGGCAAGTTTTTGGCGCTTCAGCGGATTCCAGATATACAAGAGTCAGTAGCAATGTCGAGATATCAACCAGTTTCTACAATATAACTAGATTTTGGATTTGAAGAAACAGCGGCCTTCTGTTTGGTAAGCAAAAGTTCTTAATTCTCAGCAGCCAAGTCTGATCAAGAGGCCAGTGAGACAGAAGCATCCTTAGAGCCCAAGCCTGAGCCCGAAGACTTTGATGGAAGACCAATCAAACCTCCAAGATCTGATTCTATGATAGATGCTGAAATCGTAAGTATTGTATTTATACATCCTTGGTTAAGGTTTGCTGTCACAGTTCTCTTAAGAAATCTTTTGCTCGTACTTTTGCGTTGGTTTATTTTATAGGCTTTTCATAAAGCCATAAATGCTCACTGCCCATAGTAGCCTAAGTAGCAACCATTTCTTACCAAACGATTGAGCAAGAGAACTCAGAAAAGCAAAAAGCTTTCTCTCCCCTGCCCGCAAAGGAGCTGGCCTAGGACTTATGACATTATGACGGTGATGTCTTTGGTTTTCAGGTGTTGCCAGAATCGATCTCGCAGATAAGTAAAGTACTAGACACGGAAGAGCAAGTTAAGAATGAGGAAGAAGGTATAGAACCAGGCAAGACCGCGGAAGAGAAAGCAGAACCAGGCAAGAACGAGGAAGAAGGCACAGAACCAGGCAAGACCGAGGAGGAAGGCAAAGAGGAGCGGAGGCCTTCATTTACTTCTTCAGTGACTGTAAATGTAAGGCGCTTGTTTGTTATTTCAGTTGACGCGATTTTGAACCACCAACGAAATGTCGACACTCCACCCCCACCCCCCAATTTCTTTGTTGTATTATCAAATAAGTTCCAGACATACATAAAGTAACAAGTGGCTTTAACGTCCGAATACAGTCTTTAACAAACTTCAACTAAGTATGAGTCGGGTATTGCATTAAAAGGCCTTAGGCTGTGTTCTTACCATACCAGATAGCTTTTGCGCCGCCGCGAAAATTATACCGGACAGGCCTTCTGTTCAGAAACGGTTGTGGCGGCGCAATTTCTGTTACGGAGCGAAGATGCGCCGCACCGATCTCTAGAGTGGAAAGGTGCATATCGGATAGGTGTTCACAGTATACCAGATAACTTTTGCGCCGCCGCGAAAATTATACCGGATAGGGCTTCTGTTCAAAAACGGTTGTGGCGGCGCAATTTCTGTTACGGAGCGAAGATGCGCCGCACCGATCTCTAGAGTGGAAAGTCACATATCGGATAGGTGTTCATACTATACCAGATAACTTTTGCGCCGCCGCGAAAATTATACCGGATAGGGCTTCTGTTCAAAAACGGTTGTGGCGGCGCGATTTCCGTTCGGAGCGAAGATGCGCCGCACCGATCTCTAGAGTGGAAAGGCGCATATCGGATAGGTCTTCATACTGTACCACATAACTTTTGCGCCGCCGCGAAAATTATACCGGAAAGGCCTTCTGTTCAAAAACGGTTGTGGCGGCGCAATTTCTGTTACGGAGCGAAGATGCGCCGCACCGATCTCTAGAGTGGAAAGTCACATATCGGATAGGTGTTCATACTATACCAGATAACTTTTGCGCCGCCGCGAAAATTATACCGGATAGGGCTTCTGTTCAAAAACGGTTGTGGCGGCGCTGTTTCTGTGATGGAGCGAAGATGCGCCGCTCCGATCTCTAGAGTGGAAAGTCACATATCGGATAGGTGTTCATACTATCCTAGATAGCTTTCGTATCGTTACGAAAAGCTATCCGGATTTCTTGTCAGTGGAACTTGGCTTTCCGATTCTAATCGTTAGCGGGATTCTGGATTCCGATTGTTGAGTCAAGATTCCAAACCCAGGATTACGGATTCAACACGAAAAAATTCCCGGATTCTGGATTCCAAAGGCAAAAGTTTCTTTGAATCTTTGAAACAATTGACAGGAGGTAATGTTTTTTGGCCTTAACGTTTTAATCATCCCTTTCCTTAGATCAGACCAGAAGCAACTACGACTTCTAAGGAATTTGATTACCCAGCGAAAGAGCAACCACCAGACACACAAACAGACAATAATAACCAGGCTCCCACTGGTGATGACGACGTCAGCGAAGACGAGAAGGTAAAGCCCGATTTTGGCCAATCAGACAGTGGCGATGCTGACCCCAACGAAGGTGCCATAAACCTGGGTTTTGACGATGATGAGGCACAAAAGGAAGAAAAAAAGAAAGAGGAGGTTTGGAACCATTTATTTATTTTGACCCTTAAGGTAGATTGTTGTGGCATCTCTGATACCGTTATTTGCTGTGTTTTATGGTTGGCTTTTTAGGCAAAAGCTGCCCCTTACAACACAGTAAGTGTAGTCGAGTCGTTTGCGGTAGGCTAAAACTATAGTTAGATCTGTTAATTCTCGCATTTTCTCGCCAGTATTTTCTGTGCTTATTTTTAGGCGCAAACTCATTCGGGCAAACCAGCCTTATAGGCCAGGAGGAGTCACAATGCTTTAAATCAATTCCAGTTATTATTCATTCAAAATATTTCACCCTTTCTGATTGGCTTAAAACCTCTGGCAAATTCTTCATAACCAACCGGCGTTGACCAAATTTGGGAAATTCAATGAATGTACCATCGATTCGATGAAATATTGACTAGGAAACGAGGTTGATTGATGCTATATTTGCCTGGAAATGAGGCTGCATCGGCCGCTTAGCTATAGTGAACTAAATAAATGGCGTTCACGACTATCCAAAGGCAAAACTGAAGCAGAATTTCCGGCCAAAAGTGAACGGAGGAAATGGAAGAATACGCAAAACATTTGCTCGATGGATGTTATCTACTTTTTGAGGAATATCTGCAAAAAAAAAAAACATCTGTTTATATCCTGAAACAGTGTTGAGATTAGGCCAAAGTTTAGGAGAAAGTCTACGATGAGGTAAGGTTGTTAAGAACTAAGAATATTTTGAATGAATAATAAAACAATTATTGAATTCGCCTATCGTATGATGGGAAAAAGTATGTACATTTCGGAGGATTTTATCCACCTCGGCCTTCAGCATAATTCTTCACATCCTACTCAGCCTCATTCAATTATTGCTAACTATACATGCAGTGTAATTTTGAAAAGTATAGGTAAAAAATTTACAGCTGACCGCATTTCTGTAGCCTTAGAGACGGGCTCCCGAAGCCGGCCCTTTTTGGAAAGTTTATCCTATGTATGTCTTCTCAGAAAAGCGAGATTTAATTACGAAAACATATGTATGGTTGTGAATGCCGGGCAAGGAAATATATTTATTGAAGCTGAGTTCCCATATCTTATCCATTTGTTTGACTGCTTTTTTTTCTCTGTCTAATTTTCAGGAGACCAAATTTTAAGCCTGTATCTCAAACTTAATGGAGATGGAAATAAGCCCTTTGGTAACATCAAGAGACCAGAAAAGGTGTCTTGGTAGTATCTAAAGATATTAGTTGCACAAGCCAGCTTTTTATACAGATAGTTTCAAAATTTGAAGTCATAAATGATAGTAAATATTGTATCAGGCAAACCTCTCCCTAATTCGTCGGCCCGCCTGCTAAAATTTAGTTATGCTGCGTCTCCAAATACTGATAATAATAATAGTAATAACAATAATAATAATAATAATAATAATAATAATGATAATAATAATAATAATAATAATAATAATCATAATAATAATAATAATAATAATTGAAGACTAGAGAGGGCACTCAATGAACCTTGTTTGTCACTTTCAGTTTGGCCAGAACAAAATTCTTCCGTTTGTTTCCATCGTAAAATGGGGATGCAACTAAAAGTGAAAATTCCAATTTACAGAATTTTAGAAGGCCAAAGCCCTAAAAACGAGTTCATCGAAATTTGCTACTTTTCTTGAACTTTCTAGGCGCTACTTCGAGAGTCTGAATGGGGTTTAGTGTTTAGTGTTTGCTGTGAAATTGGCCATTTTTGTAATGTTTACTGTTTTCGGAGAAAATACTGTTAAGTGTTTGGAGGGTTTTGCGTGGAAACCCCATGGTCTTTGAGCTCTGCTCAAATCATTCATGAACTTTGAGACCGTGCTCAAAGGGGCTGTAGCTGTAATCTCTTTTTTCGACCCATGCGCAACATTATTCTGGAAAGCCTAGGGAGTACTGGATACCAATCTCGTGCCAGGAGCCCACGATCCTTTAGTCAGCGTCGAGGCCGAAGTCGAAACTAATCGTAAGTGATATTCTCACCCGGAACCCCCGCACACAAAGCCAAATGAGCCTAAATGCCTAATATATGGGAGAATCGGCCCGAGGCTTTGCGAGTCGGTGAACCAGGAGAGAATACAAGGTACGCCCAGGTATGCCCCATCGCTGCGTGGAGGAGGGTGGGGCCAGAGCTGCTACAGAGGGTGCAGAGACCTAAACGTTACTAGAACTGGCTGAATAATCAAACAAGCTGCTCTTAAAACTGGGGACAAGGTCTATGGGTAAGCCGTGTATTCCCCTGGGCCACGCTGAGAAGTTTAGGAAGTGTATTGATGCTAAATTAGGCTCTTATGCGTGTTTTCCCTTGTGAGAATAGTGACAGCGATGGCGGCATCGAGTGGATTCTCCTCCAGTGTTGTCAAAATTCTAGTGAGCTTCTATAGAAGCAGGGAGGATTCTGCTTTCGAAAGGCATAGAGCAGGGTCACTTTTGACCTTTCAAAGCAATCCAGCGTGGCAGCCGTCAAGAAACATCTGAGGGAATTTCTTGAGCTTAACGAGCTTGCATTGTATTTTTCGGATTTCTCCTTGGAAAACTTCGGTAGTCTCCGGACATCTTCGGTAGTCTTCGGAAATCTTCGGAAGTCTTCCGAAATGATCGGGAATCGTCGGAAAGTGGCCGAAAACTTGTTGATATGCTGAACAAAATAACATTGCCCTTTTTGGAGGCGTTTTTGTTTCCTTCTGCATAAAATTTACTGTTACAGAGCCAAAAAATTAACTGTTTACTGTTATCGAGGTACCCCCATTCAGACCCTCTACTCAGTAAAGAGTCAAGTTCTACTGTAATCATACAGGCGGTTTCACAGTCGACTTTTAGACGTTTTGCCATTCTGAATGTGATATAAAATCGTGTAAACTTGTGAAAATATTGCCCTTGTTTCGAACTTGCTCTGGAATATGATGTACCCGATTTATCGGCGATTTTCCGCGCGAGAAGGAACTGCATGTACCTAGCTTACATCAGATGCGCCCTTCAGTAGCCGTGCATACAGACTGGAATATCTCAATAAGCGCCGAGTAATCATTGTAGCAAACATCTTCCGAAAAATCGCCTGTGTAAACCGATTGGTTTCTGCGCTTTAAAAAAGTCGTCAAAATTAGTCTACTTGTCGTCTACACTCCTTTTCGTATATGGCTTCAAAACTATGGAACTCTCTTCCAGATTCGTTTAGAACTTCTGACTTTTATCCTACAGTATTACTCTTTTTAATAGTTTAAATATTAGAATGTTATAATTTGTAACTCGAAGATACTAGCTTATCTTTACCTACTTTAAGTTCGAGGTTAAATAAAGTATATGTATGTGTGTATGTATGTCAAAAGAGGTATAACAATTAAGGAGCAAAAGCACCAAAATAAGTTACTGTATCTTGATTTTAAAGAGAAGAATTTGCATCGTTCCGATAGGAACTTTTTATGTGTTTTGCTAATTAAAATGCCATCATTGGGTTTACAGCTTCGGGTAGTTTGCACTACCTTTTCAGTACAGCAGGACACATTTAATATATATGTACATATAGATATATATATATATATATATTTTAAAGTAAGCGTTGTGTAGCATTTGCTGGGCAGTAAATAATGTTTAATTGCACAAGTCCCTTCTTGAAACAGGATCCGTTTACACGAGCTAAAATAACAAAATTGGTATGGCTTGGAGAAAATTTTAAGTGTAAACGCTATTTTACTCGTTTAATTCCGTTTCCTATAAGGTCCATCGGCGCCTATGTTCCTCTTTTGGGACGGATGGATAAAATCGGCTCCCTACTCGCATTTTTGTTTCCTCTTCAACGCATAAACGCTCGACTTCTTTTCAACGATCTTTTGCTCTTGCCCTTTTTTCTCAAGTCGACCTTACAAAACTTGTACGTGTAAACAATCGGATTTCGTCTGGATCCGGTACTTCTCTCTATCCGAGCCGTCCAGTCTGTTTTGTTATTGTCATTATAATTTCCATTCCTTCGTCATATACTTATTTGGCTAACTCAATGTTGTACCCAATAGGCCATTTCCGAGTTCCCCGGGAACTCTGTTTCAAAACGAGGGTAGCTGCTCAGCCTTTGATATGGAAATCATTTTTCATTCTCATTCAAATAAAACTCATTTTCACGAGAAAAGTAGTGCACCTAGCCTCATTTTGAAAGTGAGGGTTTTTAGAACTCGGAAGTGCCCTATTCAAACCCTTTGGGGATAAAACGTTTTGTTTCAGAAATTTCTAGATCATTTGAATGTGAATGCCAAATACAGCAAACAAAGAATCTTAACCCCAGGAGATTTGAATTGGGTACAATACTGAATCAGCCGAATAGGTCTATTAAATAAAGCCTTACATCTGCAAAAGTTTTTTTAAAATAAATTTATACAAGCTTTGCACTTTTAAAATTAAGAACAACAAACAAATTAAAACATAATTTGTCTGGCACAAACTATTTGCGTCTATATTATTTATTTATTAACAATCTAATTCGAATATCTCGGGCCCGCTGTAAAGTTTTTATTTATATAGGTATAAAACACGACCTTAGAGCGAGGCAGGGGAGAGTAGGGACGGGTGTACTATCACCTGCGAGGTTCCTAACCCTGCGGGTTAATTGTAAAGCCTGCTAATAGGGGTAGGGTGTTGTTTCAAAGCAAACCATGTTTATTTCTGTAGTAATTTCTTAGTCTCCTTCCCAGCGGGTCTTTGTCCCACTACGCAACGCCCCGCCCCAAAGGGGTGCAGGCGCAGGTCAGCTACGACAAAAACGTTTTAAAACCCTTCTTTCATGCAAAATCGATCCGGAACTGGATCGCCGGTGATCACCAACCGATCTTCTGCGTCATGTCGCAGACATATGCTTGGCACCATTTTCGCATGAAAGTTGTTTTCGATCCTGTCGGAGAACACCGCTGACCGATAAAGATTACTAAGGCTTAGGACGATAGACCTTCGTTTTCAAATGTCTTAGCGCTCAATTTAAACAACCCTTTTCGAAAACTTCTACTTTGATCATTTTGGCGTGGACGCAAGGCCAAAATGCAAGACAAAGTAGGCATCTACAAGCAAACGTATTGAAACGCATTGGTGTAATCGAGGTGTAAGTAGTAGATCTGAAACCGAATTCAATTACCCACTGAACACACACTGTTTAAGTAGTCGGCAACAATAAATTTTATCTTAGTCGGTGAATTTTCGAGCGCTGACACTTGCTAGAACATCCCAGCATTTTTTTGTTGTTGTTGTTCATATCAGAATAACTGTCCATTTTTTCAGTTTTTGGCGGGTGCAAACCAAAGGCGTCATCTTGGCTACAAATAAATTAAGGTTCTTTAGTTTAAATCGTGGTTAAAATTGTCCAGGGAAATAATATCGCTTACTGCCCTCAAAAGCACGCACGGAGTCCAATTATGATTAACTGAAGCCTAGCTAAAATACTCGGCAAAAATTTTTCTTTTTCCGAATTTTATCCACTGAAGCACATACTATTCTCCTTTCTATCACTATCATTTTTTTTCAACCGACATGGTGAAAATTAAGTTAAACTGTTTTTTTGCGTGCCAAAACCATCTGCTATGCATATACCTAATCATCAGCCAGCTCAGTAAATACAGCTATTTCGAGAAAAGGTTGTCGGAAAAATGTGCACGCGACAATCCCGAAAGGTAATATGGGATATGATCAATACACTGTTTCTGACGACTGTACCTGTCGAACCTACTTTTGTTGCTTTCCTTTAGCACTCGCAAACACATTTCCACGGCCTTTCGTACCAATTCTTTCAAATTTCTTTAAAAAACAGTGAACTTAAAACTACCCACAATGCCTTTCGGGATTGTCGCGTGCACTTTTTCCGACAACCTCTCTCGAAGTAGCTGTATATAGCTATCAACTAATTGGGTCTTAGTGTGTTTTGATCGCACTTAGAGGCTATGTCACAAGAATATTGTTTTTTTTATAAGTGAATTCTTTGCGGAAGTCATTATTTACTACCTTAACCCAACCTGTAGAGTCATGAAGTAGACATCAAACATATTTCATGAGCAAGCTCTAACCATAATAATATTTTTGGTAATACTTGCAGGCATGGTATTAAAACTTGAAAAGGTCGGCCCAACTTTCTCATGTTTCAATCCATGTGCATCTTTGCCATTCGTTGCAAGAGACTATAGGAAACTTACAGTTTCTTTACCTAAATATAGCCTTTGATATCAAAACTGGACCATTATTTTTGGAATTCAATTGATGAAAAAAAAGTCTTAGCTTTTTAAAAAGACAGCAAATAGCGTGATATAGTAGCTCCTTTAAAACAAATCTGTCACAACTTGAAGGTACTAAACCTTACCAAAAAATTTGTATTTACGTTACAGCTTTACTACTTACTTGTAACGTAAGTAAATTTTGTAGTCTTGTTGTAAGTAAGTACCGTGTAGCTGTATTGTAAGTGAATGCCAAGTGTGATTATAAAATAAAATTAAATTAAATTTAAAAAAAATAAAAAATTTGTATTTGGCTAATAACTATTAGTCATTCCTTGATGGCGCCAGGACCCTACTTTAACGTGACTCTATACGTTGTCTCGGATAAGAGTATTTGATTATTTGTTGTAATTGATTCGTCTTTGATAAAGGCAATAGATGATATTTACTGAACAAATTCAGGTTTGGCGTGATGTTGAATCAGCATCTTAAAACTTGTGGATGTCTCACCTGTTTTTAGTCTGCCGACATGAACTCCTCAGTAAATGAACCGAGCTGCTCAAGTCAGCTAAATTCTACAGCAGGAAAGGTCGGGCAGACCTTTGCTTACTGCTTATTACTTGTCTTTTCTTTGGCCGGGAATTCCTCCCTTGGAATAATTGCGTACAGAACACAAGCCATGAGGAAACCGATAAATTATTTCGTTACAAACATGGCTATGTCCGACTTGCTGTATTCAATTTTCCTGTTTCCAAGCAATACAGCCCTGTTATACACGGAACGGTCCTGGCTTGTTGGTGGTGGCTTCGGTCAAGCGTTGTGTAAATTTTCTCCTTTCCTATCCGACACGTCCACCATTGTTTCCATTCAGAGTCTGGTTCTGATAGCAGTGGATCGATTAGGAGCTGTGTTCTTTCCCCTCCGTTCTCCACTCATCACGCCAAGACTGTGTCCCTTCTTCATTCTCGCCACATGGGTTATTGCCATGGCTTATCGCTCACCATATTTATTTGTTTACAAACTGGTAGAATACCAAGCGAAGCTAACTTGTAAAATGCTTTGGAAAGAGACTTTTGGAGACTCGTTATCGCTTGCAAACTACTTCCTGGCAGGACTCATTGTATTCATTTACCTGCCAATCGTCTTGCTGGCGATGCTGTACTCCAACATTCTTCTCAAACTGGGATCACAAGTGCATCCAGGTGAGCAGTCGACCAACGCTGAGGAAAAACGCACGAGAAGAAACGAAAGCGTACTAAAGATGGCCATTGCTATTGTTTTAGGTTTCGTGATATGCTGGGTACCTTTCACTGTCACTTTGTTGCTTCATATGTTTGTATGGGACTTTTCAGTTCCTTGTAGCGCAGTAGACTACGTAACATTCACATTTTTTTTAGCCTACACAAATTGTGTTATAAATCCTCTTATCTGCTTCACTTTTAGTAGCAACTATCGTCAAGGTCTGAAAAGACTCATCCACTGTTTTAGCAGTGCTGCAGTGTTTCCAGCTTAAGATTATTCCTTAATTGACAAGCAAGCTGAGAAGCGAGACTATGAGCAACTAGAATGTGAGCAGCCTCTTGGGATGGAGTCGTGTGAGTGAGACACTAAAAAAATGGCAAGAAAAAATGCCAGTCCCCTCGTGGCCCTTTCACTCTCTCTAGACTTGCCGCCTCAACTAAACTGACCGAAAAGTTTCTAGCAGTCTACCGGAGGCTGGAACTTATTCCGGTGTAAGTGGCATGTTAAGCATTTTAGTCAAGCTATCAAAATCCTTGGTGGACGGGGACAGTGTGGGTAGGGAAACAACAAGATTAAGGTGACCATTTTCGCATGAAAGTTGAGTTAAACGAGAATGGCATGTCTGCGAACGCAAAAATTAATGGGAAGGGCAAGACAGCTTCGATCATGTCGGAGAACACCGCTGACCGATAAAGATTACTGAGGCTTAGGACGATAGACCTTCGTTGTCAAATGTCTCAGGGCTCAGTTTAAACAACTCTTTTCAAAAACTTCGTTTTTGATCATTTTGGCGTGGACGTAAGGCCAAAATGCAAGAAAAAGTAGGCATCTACAAACAAACGTATTGCGACGCATTGGTGTAATCGAGGTGTAAGCAGTAGATCTGAAACCGAATTCAGTCACCCACTGAACACAGACTGTTTAAGTAGTCAGCAACAATAAATTTTATCTTAGTCGGTGAATTTTCGAGCGCTGACACTTACTAGAACATCCCAGCATTTTTTTTTTGTTTATATCAGAATAACTGTCCATATTTTCAGTTTTTGGTAGGTGCAAAACAGAGGCGTAATCTTGGCTACAAATAAATTAAAGTTCTTTCGTTTAAATCGTGGTTAAATTGTCCAGGGAAATAATATTGCTTACTGCTCTCAAAAGCACGCACGGAGTCCAATTATGATTCACTGAAGCCTCGCTGAAATACTCCGCAAAAATTTCCTATTTCCGAATTTTATCCACTGCAGCACATACTATTCTCCTTCTTTTTATCACCAAATCTATTTTTTTTCAACCGATATGGTGAAAATTTAGTTAAACTGTTTTTTGCGGGCCAAAACCATCTGCTATGCATATACCTAATCACCAGCCAGCTCAGTAAATATATAGCTATGAACTAATTGGGTCTTAGTGTGTTTCGATCGCACTTAAAAGGCTATGTCACAAGGATACTGTTTTTTTTGTAAGTTAATTCTTTGCGGAAGTCATTATTTACTACCTTAACCCAACCTGTAAAGTCATGAAGTAGATATCAAACAAATTTCATGAGCAGTGCAGTGTTTCCAGCTTACGATTATTGCTTAATTGAAAAGCAAGCTGAGAAGCGAGACTATAAGCAGCTAGAATGTGAGCAGCCCCTTGGGATGGTCGTGTGAGTGAGTAAATCGAGCGAGGCCAACACTGAAAAAAATGGCAGGAAAAAATGCCAGTCTCTTCTTGGCCCTTTCACTCTCTCTAGAGTTCCCGCCTCAACTAAACTGACCGAAAAGTTTCTAGCAGTCTACTGGAGGCTGGAACATATCCCGCTTTAAGTATGCGTGTTAAGCATTTTAGTCAAGCTATTAAAAATCCTTGGTGGACGGGAACAGTCCGAAGCCGGACGGCCGGTCGATATCACGAAGGTATTGTCTCTTTCCAAGACAAAGCTGAATTACTTGAATACAAGTTGTGTATCCAGCTTTTATCTTTACTAAAATAACTGCTTTTCATGACTAAAAACGCTCTCTTACTGCAATATACTGAACAAACAGAACCCTTCTCGTTTATTAATATTATGTTTTCCTTGTGACACTTTTTTTTGTGAATGGGCGTTATTCGTATTTTGAACTATAGCTAATTAATTTTCCGATCTGTTGAGTCTGGTTTTTCTTGTTCTGAATTAATTTTTACTATTCGTAGAAATCGCATTCAATTTTTATACGTTATTTGAGTCAAAGACGGTGAAAACGACATCCGAAAATAAAATAACTAAAATGGCGTTGGCGTTTTAAGTATTGTAATTGGGTGTGCACAGTGTCGCTTTCTGTATGGTAGTCAACATCTTGCGTCAAAACTTCAGGTGTGAATGGACTATGTATAATTTCGACCATGGAACTAATTTTTGCGGTAGCTTTCTTTTGCGGGAACAGTTTTTGCGCCGGATCAATCCGTGAGAATTAATTACCGCACGTAACGTGATAAGTGAATGACAGAAAGTCTTGAAAATTGTGGCTTTCGAATAATTTTGAGCTGTTTTCGAAGTCTCGCAAACCTTTTCGATGTGTCAAATTTTCCTGTGTTTTTTTTGCCTTGACCAGTCCGACTCCTAACGAAGTCTCATATTTGGCCAGTTTTCCACCTTGTCCCTTAACAGTGCTATGAATTATTTCAATATGGGAAGGTTTTGAAGTTTTAATAGAAGTTGAGGAACCAGCTCAATTCAGTCACTACTAAATAATTTATTCGTTTCATTTAATACTGCAAAGAGGAATTGCGTCATTTGAGGTGTCATTTGGTGTTTTGTTAACAACAAAATATTGCTTTTCATAACTTAAAACCTATGACTAAATTAATTATGCACATGGTAATTTGTAGTTATCTTCATTTAACAACATTGTAGTATTCAGCGAGGCGCAGCTGCGCGCAGGCCGGTCAAATTCAGATAAAAGCAATTGTGAGCGAATTAGAAAGTTAAAAGGAGACATCGCTAATTGCAATTCTAAATTTAGCAGACCTGGCAGAACATGCCCTGTAACCAGAAGAAATGTTGCTACTACGAAACAGAGATGAACGGTACCTCTAAACTTTGTCTTGAAGGCCGCAGTTTGACAAAGACTGAGTCTATTATCATGATAAATTTTCATGTGATTCAGTGGCCCTCGCAGCCCTTTTTGGCAGCTACCTCATTCTTTGGGCGTTCCACAAATTTCACAGTCTTCGAACTGCGTCAAACGTAATCTTGGCGAGTTTGTTCATTGCTGATGGATTGCTGGCCATCCCGTCCATCGTAGACATCTTACACTTGAATCTCTTCTTTAGAGATGAGCTTTCTTTGGTCTTGCATTCTGAGAAACATAAGCTCACGTTCCAGATTCCTTCTCCTTTCGGTTATCATTCGTCACCTCGCCTTAATCAGTTTGGAACGGTCCATCGCCGTGAGATTCTCCTTATGATACCACATCATAGTAACCGATCGCCGCGCACTGATCGTTTCTATCGCCATGTGGCTGTGGGCTGCGACCATTATGATCGTTTTCCTACAGGTACTTAAAGCATCCATCGACGATTTCGAACAGTTACGCCAGGCCATGAATCCGTGCAGTAAGACCCCTGAAGGACCCCCCAAATCGTGACATGCCTCCTTTAACTAAAGGATATCTCATATTCTTGTTGATAACACTGTTGGTTATCACTAGTTATCATCTTATGGTCCTACTCCTACATCTTCATCATGTCTCTTAAGCACGGAGGGCAGATCAGAGAACAAGCTGAGATCTCAGGATTGCCGCAACGAATCAAACATGAAACGAAAGCCACCTGCACTCTCGCCGTGGTGATAGCAGTACGCCTTCTCAGTATCATACCGTTGTTGGTTGTGACATGCCTTCGCGATCGCTTTTTCGGGAAGCTGTCCGAGTGTGGCCACCCAGGACGTAGGCCGTATAAGTTTATCGTTTACGACGTGGCAACTCGCTTGAACGCTATCTGCAATCCTCTTATTTACGGATGAAAAAATAAAGAATTCAGACGAGCTTTTGTGAAAGTGCGCTTTGAACGTTTACATTCCTATGCAGTCCTAGGAGGAAAGTGAAAACTTTTGTCGCTATGGAAAGCATTTCTGACTGACAAAACGTGTACATGTAAATACGTTAGTAAGTAAAATAGTAGGTAGCTTATTTTAACACGTATTACCTAAAAGCTGAAAAACTCGTTCCAACGTGCACGTCAGTGCAATATTTCTAGTGGTTCCAAAAGGAAATTTAAGTGCTGCGAGCAGATCAGCCTCAGTAACACGCGTTATATTCCATGTATCTTCTCAGTTTGGTTCGATTTTATGTGTTAATATATGTTTACGAGAGTATCGTCCGACGTCTTATTTAGATCACAATTTCCCGCTCCTTTTGTAAATGGACTAATTCGTCGAAAAAAAGCCCTAAATAAGAAAAAACCATACCAATTTATCCAAAAAATCGATAAATAAAGTTAGAAGCGAATGGAGTACAGCAAATGTTGAGCAAGCGTTGCAACTGTCAGTTGTTTCGTTGAACGTCACGAAAGCAAGGTAAAATGTCCTACTAACATCTGGTGAGGTTTTAACTACTATCTAAAAAGACTACAGAAAAGTTATAACGATAATGTGCGGTCGACTTTAGGGGAACGCAACTCCTATTCTTGGGAGACCTGTGGTACTTGGTCACCCTGGGGTAGCCAGGTTGACCTTTTCATCAAGATTTTTCGTCGTTCGTCTACATTTTCGATCCGTGTACTCGTATATAATGCTTAATCGACGTCTGATATCTTGCCAAGCAATTCAAGTTTAATTGGCCTACGCGAACTAAATGAAGGCGAACCGTTCGCTCAATGACAAAATATTTTGTACCTTAAGCGATGTTAGGTTCGTTGACATCTATTAGGGAACTTAAGCAGCAACGTTTTTGAGCGACGCACGTCAACCGGAAGTGAGGTATTTTCCCTCTTAACATGCCTTGATGACATAAAATTTGTATTCCTTAGTTTCTTTACTGTTATAGAGGCGATTTGACTGAAAATTTGCGCGAAACCACCGTCAAAAAATGAAAAAAGGCCACTTCCGGCTGACGTGCGTCGCTCAAAAACGTTGTTGCTTAAGCTCCCTATTATCTCGCAAAAACCCTTATAATTATGTTTCTGACGCTATAATGACTAAAAACGCTCGCTTATTGCGAATACTGGACAAACAAAACGTAGAGAGAGGTGCTTATTCTCATAGCTGTAACAAACTCCACAAAACTAAAATGTTTTCCTTGTCACTACTTTAATTATTTGTTTCATTCTTTTTTGAGCTAATTCTCAGCACTGCCTTAATACCTGATAAAGAACGGCTTTTGGCTCCGGTTTTTGCCCGGGAAACGTTTCGTTAAGAACACGACGTTACAAAGTCGCTTCCATCTCCTCAATATGAAGATTGCCACTGACAAGTATTTCTTCATTTCCATAATGCCAGTTGTAAGATTAATTATTTCCAAGAGACATGCTCTTGTCATTTCTTAATTACCTGCCTTTCTGCGCTGTCAGTTTTAAACCATGTCAGTTATATAATTGTTTAATAAAAAGAAAGAACACCCCGAGTATATATAACCAGAGTATATGTAGCCTAAGTATCGTTACAAAACTGAATGGTAGTTGTATGTTATACATCAAATGTAGAGAGTCTACCTTAAGTTCTGACTGAGCCGCGGCAGTGTCTCAACCACAGTATATATTTCATAGCAGGCACAATTTTCCTCCAATGAGCCAAACACAGATGAATGATTCTGATCGAAACCGTCCCTTGCAGAAGAAAACAGAGATTATCCTATTGTTGAACATTGATGTGATCACAACAGTCGCCGCTTTGCTCGGCTGCTATTTGGTGCTCAGATCATTTCACAAATTCCACAATCTGCGAACAGCGTCCAACATCATTCTGGTGAGTTTGTCTACCGCTGACGGTTTACTGGCGATTCCGAGCGTTCTCGACATCATTCGTTTAAGCTTAAAGTATGATGCTAATCATTGCTTCCATATTCCTGTTCTTAAAACAGTAATTGGAACTTTCACGTTCTTTCTCGTTTCGGTCATCATTCTTCATCTTGCTTTAATGAGTGTTGATCGTTTCATCGCCATCAAGTTCGCCTTAAGATACCACACAATAGTGACCAATCGCCGAGCAAAGATCGTCTCCATTGCCCTTTGGCTGTGGGCTCTGGTCGTCACGATAACTTCCAGAGAGTTTCACAAATTGATGAGTCCATACCAGGAATACAGTAAAAATTGCGAAGAGCGCCTCAAACGCCTGAACACGGGGAATCCGCCGAGCGAAGAGCGCCCCAACCGCCCGAGCAAAGAGCATGTTGTATTCCCAGCTGTGTCAGTGTTTCTTGTTCCCCTGTTGATCATTATGTTCTCGTACGTCTACATATTCGTCGTGTCCTACCAGCACAGAAAACGTGTCAGAGAACAGAGCGACCTTACAGGAATGCCCACCATCAAGCATCAAATGAAAGGCGCCCGCACTCTCGCCATTGTTGTAGCGCTATGTCTACTCAGTATCATCCCTATCCTGGTTGTCACATCCCTCCGTGTTTTCCATAAAAGATCACTCGGAGGCCGCCGCCATCATAAGCTACTGCAGCATATTGTTTACAATGTGGCCATGTTTTTTAATGCCATATGCAACCCTCTTATCTACGGATGGAAAAACGAGGAATTCAGAAACGCTTTTCACAAGCTTCTGCGGTGCAACTAAGTAAATAGTCTTCTTTCATCGTCATCAGCTTAACGGGACTATATAGTTTCAGTTTTTGTACATGCATGATAAGGGTAGTTTAGTGGAAAGTGGTTTGTTTTTGACATCAATCAGCCTTGCACTCTCTATAAGAAAACATGATTTAAAAGTTTTTGCGTCTCCTACTATTGTTTATGACTTGGTTACACTGCCGAAGATATTAGGTCGTTTTTTTTCCTTTTCTAATGCAAAACATTGTGTTCGCTTAATACTTTCAATTTTGTTAAAAGATCCCTTTTTGTGAGGGTTTGAACCCAGGAGTTCATTCATAAGTAGGTTGAGTATTATCGTGCGGGTGAACGTAGTCCTGAATGGGGCTGTTGTTGACAGTGACTGGCGCTAATCTACAATCTGTGCTGTACTGAGTAATCTGTAGAGTCAAAGTGAGTTGTACGTATCACATCACTTTTTCCTAAGTAAAATAATCTGCAAGTTGTTTCCTGACCACATGCCACTTACGCCCCTCTCTGAGCTCTACTTTAGCACGGCATGCTGGTGAAAAAATCACATTGTGATAATGCAATTTGGTTATAACAAAAGCGAAATAAATCTATGTAAACTATGGTTAACGCCACAAAATAATAAAAGTTTAAAAAAATGAATTTCAAGCCTTTCTGTCTTTTAGAGTCCATAAAATATAACTTAGATACCGACAAGCAAGCTACAAAAACACATGGACCGGGTACAGTCGATGATCCGAAGATTAGAAGACGTTTTTGAGCGACGCCCGTCAACCGGAAGTAAATGTTTTGCATTCTTGGTTGGTGGTTCTCCACGACGAGTAATAATAATAATAATAATAATAATAATAATAATAATAATAATAATAATAATAATAATAATTTAATAACTTATATAGCGCTAATTTACATTTGCTAATCAATAGCGCTTTACAAAATAAAAATATATATATTAAAAGCATTATCAAGTAGGGAATACATTTTCAAAATGCAGACCTAAACAGAAACGTCTTAAGTTAGTTTTTTTGGCCGACTTAAGCATTGAACATATTCGTTTTTCCTGCTGGGTTTGAGCCTTTTCATCCGGTTGTTTTTTCAAACAACAAACTTTGCTCCGCTTTTTCTCTCCTTAAAGAGGTGTTTAAATAGGAACTGGTGACATAAACTGCCCGGGACTATAACGTGATGGCGATGTTCCTACATAACATAATATATTTTAAAAATGAGAAAGCACAACGCTCATTTATTAGTCCATTGTTGTTTGTATAGGCAGCTGGTCGACATTAAAAGCGTATTGTGTATTTCCAAGACAAAACTAGAGTAGTTGAATACAAATCATGTAACCAGTCCTTATAGTACAGAGAATGTTAAACAAAACTGCCGTTGTCGTTTTAAATATCACAACGAAATATTGTGTGTGGACAGAGTCGCTTTCTGTATCACAATCAACAGTCACCAACAAAATTTTATGTTTCGCATCAAAACTATTTATTATTGCTGATAAGTTTTATTCGAAGGATTTTAATTTATTTCTTTAATTTTACATCTTTTCACGGAATTTTTTATTTGGGGGAACTTAATTTTGTGTCACCCCGTAAGAAAATTTGCAAAACTAGTTAGTAATAATTGATTCGTCTTTGACAAAGGCAATAGATGATATTTACTTAACAAATTCAGGTTTGGCGTGCTGTTGAATCAGCATCTTAAAACTTGTGGATGTCTCACCTGTTTGTATTAGTCTGCCGACATGAACTCCACAGTAAATGAACCGGGCTGCTCAAGTCAGCTAAATTCTACAGCAGGAAAGGTCGGGAAGACCTTTGCTTACTGCTTATTACTTGTCTTTTCTTTGGCCGGGAATTCCTCCCTTGGAATAATTGTGTACAGAACACAAGCCATGAGGAAACCGATAAATTATTTCGTTACAAACATGGCTATGTCCGACTTGCTGTATTCAGTTTTCCTGTTTCCACGCAATACAGCCCTGTTATACACGGAACGGTCCTGGTTTGTTGGTGGTGGCTTCGGTCAAGCGTTGTGTAAATTTTCTCCTTTCCTATCCGACACGTCCACCATTGTTTCCATTCAGAGTCTGGTTCTGATAGCAGTGGATCGACTTGGAGCTGTGTTCTTTCCCCTCCGTTCTTCACTCATCACGCCAAGACTGTGTCCCTTCTACATTCTCGCCACATGGGTTATTGCCATGGCTTATCACTCACCATATTTATTTGTTTACAAACTGGTAGAATACCAAGCGAAGCTAACTTGTAAAATACTTTGGAAAGAGACTTTTGGAGACTCGTTATCGCTTGCAAACTACTTCCTGGCAGGATTCATTGTATTCATTTACCTGCCAATCGTCTTGCTGGCGATGCTGTACTCCAACATTCTTCTCAAACTGAGATCACAAGTGCATCCAGGTGAGCAGTCGACCAACGCTGAGGAACAACGCACGAGAAGAAACGAAAGCGTACTAAAGATGGCCATTGCTATTGTTTTAGGTTTCGTGATATGCTGGGTACCTTTCACTGTCACTTTGTTGCTTCATATGTTTGCATGGGACTTTTCAGTTCCTTGTAGCGCAGTAGACTACGTAACATTCACATTTTTTTTAGCCTACACAAATTGTGTTATAAATCCTCTTATCTGCTTCACTTTTAGTAGCAACTATCGTCAAGGTCTGAAAAGACTCATCCACTGTTTTAGCAGTGCTGCAGTGTTTCCAGCTTAAGATTATTCCTTAATTGACAAGCAAGCTGAGAAGCGAGACTATGAGCAACTAGAATGTGAGCAGCCTCTTGGGATGGAGTCGTGTGAGTGAGTAAAAAAATGGCAAGAAAAAATACCAGTCCCCTCGTGGCCCTTTCACTCTCTCTAGACTTGCCGCCTCAACTAAACTGACCGAAAAGTTTCTAGCAGTCTACCGCACTGTAATTTTCAGGGAGTTATAATAACTCCTCTAGTGGGGCTAATTTAACTCCTTACAGTGGAGTTATTTTTCGTGGAGTTATTTTAACTGCAAAAAGGAGTTTAAAGAACTCTTTTTCAGGAGTAAAAGTGACCACAGATTTTGAGGAGTTAAAATAACCCCAAAAAAGGAGTTATCCTGTACCTAAAATTTTTACTCCACTTTCAGAGTTAAATTAACTCCAAAAAGAGTGAAAACAACTCCTGTAAGGAGTACAAGTAACCCCATTTCGGAGTAATTTTAACTCCAAGACTGGGAGTAAAAAGAACTCTTTTTCAGGAGTAAAAATGACCCCAAATTCGGAGTTAAATTAGGAGTTAAAATAACCCCAAAAAAAGGGGTTATCCTGTACCTAAAATTTTTACTCCATTTTTGGAGTTATAATAACTCCCTAAAAATTACGGTGCGGAGGCTGGAACTTATTCCGGTTTAAGTGGCATGTTAAGCATTTTAGTCAAGCTATCAAAATCCTTGGTGGACGGGGACAGTGTGGGTAGGGAAACAACAAGATTAAGGTGACCATTTTCGCATGAAAGTTGAGTTAAACGAGAATGGCATGTCTGCGAACGCAAAAATTAATGGGAAGGGCAAGACAGCTTCGATCATGTCGGAGAACACCGCTGACCGATAAAGATTACTGAGGCTTAGGACGATAGACCTTCGTTGTCAAATGTCTCAGCGCTCAGTTGAAACAACTCTTTTCGAAAACTTCGTTTTTGATCATTTTGGCGTGGACGTAAGGCCAAAATGCAAGAAAAAGTAGGCATCTACAAACAAACGTATTGAGACGCATTGGTGTAATCGAGGTGTAAGTAGTAGATCTGAAACCGAATTCAATCACCCTCTGAACACAGACTGTTTAAGTAGTCGGCAACAATAAATTTTATCTTAGTCGGTGAATTTTCGAGCGCTGACACTTACTAGAACATCCCAGCATTTTTTTTTGTTTATATCAGAATAACTGTCCATATTTTCAGTTTTTGGTAGGTGCAAAACAGAGGCGTAATCTTGGGTACAAATAATTTAAAGTTCTTTCGTTTAAATCGTGGTTAAAATTGTCCAGGGAAATAATATTGCTTACTGCTCTCAAAAGCACGCACGGAGTCCAATTATGATTCACTGAAGCCTAGCTGAAATACTCCGCAAAAATTTCCTATTTCCGAATTTTATCCACTGCAGCACATACTATTCTCCTTCTTTTTATCACCAAATCTATTTTTTTTCAACCGACATGGTGAAAATTTAGTTAAACTGTTTTTTTGCGGGCCAAAACCATCTGCTATGCATATACCTAATCACCAGCCAGCTCAGTAAATATATAGCTATGAACTAATTGGGTCTTAGTGTGTTTCGATCGCACTTAAAAGGCTATGTCACAAGGATACTGTTTTTTTTGTAAGTTAATTCTTTGCGGAAGTCATTATTTACTACCTTAACCCAACCTGTAAAGTCATGAAGTAGATATCAAACAAATTTCATGAGCAGTGCAGTGTTTCCAGCTTACGATTATTGCTTAATTGAAAAGCAAGCTGAGAAGCGAGACTATAAGCAGCTAGAATGTGAGCAGCCCCTTGGGATGGAGTCGTGTGAGTGAGTAAATCGAGCGAGGCCAACACTGAAAAAAATGGCAAGAAAAAATGCCAGTCTCTTCTTGGCCCTTTCACTCTCTCTAGAGTTGCCGCCTCAACTAAACTGACCGAAAAGTTTCTAGCAGTCTACTGGAGGCTGGAACTTATCCCGCTTTAAGTATGCGTGTTAAGCATTTTAGTCAAGCTATTAAAAATCCTTGGTGGACGGGGACAGTTCGCTGCCGGACGGCCGGTCGATATCACGAAGGTATTGTCTCTTTCCAAGACAAAGCTGAATTACTTGAATACAAGTTGTGTATCCAGCTTTTATCTTTACTAAAATAACTGCTTTTCATGACTAAAAAGGCTGTCTTACTGCAATATACTGAACAAACAGAACCCTTCTCGTTTATTGATATTATGTTTTCCTTGTGACACTTTTTTTTGTGAATGGGCGTTATTCGT